CTCATAGTTTGGGGGCCAAGAAGCCCACACAAATCATGCCATGGGCTCTAGGGTAGGGACCTTCCTTATTGGTAGCCCCAGGAGTTCCTTGGCCCTCCTTGGCATCTGTCTTCCGCTGATGTATTGCTGTTTCTGTTCTGCTCTTTTTATACGACACCACTTAGAAATGATTAGGTTTAGAACCCACCATACTCTAGTAAGACTGCATTTTCCCTGGAAGCAGAGATTTTTTACCTGGAAGTAGAGACCTAAGAGGTTGCGAACAAGACTGAAATAAGGAAGATGTCACCTTTAACTCCAGACTGGGCTGTGTGTGGAGTGTGGGGAGATGAGCTGCTTTTGTTGGATAAGGCTGCAGGGAGACAGGTGTCCCCAGGAGAGAACCTGCTTTCAGCTAAGGCTGAGAGACGGAGGATGAGATCTGCAGCAGAACTAAGAGTGGAAGCGGTGAGCTTATCAGACAATGAAGTCTGTGTGATGGAGACAGAGCTGGTGGGAGTCTGTGTAAGGAGGGAGCTCAAACAGTGTGGGGAGGAGAAAGCAGGACAAGAGGAGTTTGTATGTTGGCTGGTGGTCATGGGTGACAGATATGGGAGCCACGGCTGGATTAGCTGATGCTTTACAAAGGCTATAGCCCTGGGGCACTAATGCTACTGAGCAAAATTCAAACAGCATATTGATATTTAAGACTCAATACATTATTACCCGAGGTCATTGTCTTGTGGTGGAGATGTCAGAGACAGCTCTTAGGGTGACCATGGAGAGAGTGGTCACCTGGGTCTGGATTGTGCTTTGTTTGAAATCCTAGAGATCCCAAAGCCAAACAACCCAGACCCACTGCCATCGAGTCGATTCCAACTCATCGAGGCTCTCTCTATACAGGGTTTATGGGAGCAGACAGCCTCATCTTTCTTCCATGGAGTGGCTGGTGAACCGAACCGCCAACTTGTGGTTAGCAGCACAGTGCTGAATCCATAGCACCACCAGGGATAGACTAAGAGTTGGTTAAATTTTCTCTCATTTAATAAAGCATTCAGTGAGGAACATTCTGGGAGTGGGTGGAGACTCCATAATGTCACCATGGACCCAGGCTTCCTCCAGTTATACAATATTCCAAAGTAGAGCATGGCCTTTGCCCTCATGATTATGAGATGGCTCTCTGAGGTCCTGCCTTCACAACCACATTGCAGGTGGGAAGAGGAAGAGAAATGGCAAAGGGAGCTGCCAGCAGAGACAACTCTTTTCTGGAAGTCCACCAATGACTTCAACTTACCTCTCACTGACACCCCTATCTGTAAGAGAGACTGGGTTTGCAGTCTTGTAGATGAGCATGTTGGTCCATCCCCCCCCGCCCCGTCCCCCGATAATAGTAAGGAAAATGGTGAAAACGGCTATTGGGAGGCGACTAGAAATTTATGTCACAGACATATTAGAGAACCATGAAATACTAGTATTCAGTTTAACTCAGGTTTGTGCACTGATTTTTTCATCCACGTGTAACATGGTTCTAAGTCCTTTCTATTTAATTTCTGGTTCAATATCTCTTCCTTTAACTGCCCTTCATTGTAACTCCTCACCTTAAACTTTATTAAAAGCCACAACTATGTTCTTAAATGTCCTTGGCCACTGAAGAGACAAGAAGTCTTCTTCAAGTTCTACTACAGTATTGGAATCACCTGTAGTAGCAGTTAGATTTTGCTGGATAACAAACCACCCCAAAATATAGTGACTTAAAACAACCACATTATTATCTTTTATGAGTCTGTGGGTTGACTTACTTCAGCTGGGACAGTGTTTATTTAGTCTCACTAACACATACAGCTACTGTCCTGTATAAAGTTGTATGTCAAAATTCACTCCCACTAAAGGAATTTGGGTTTGGTTTTTGATCCTCAGTATCTCAAAAGGTTTTTTGTGTTGGTTATATTAAAGAGAATATTTTTGAGAAGGATTATTAAGGGTTTCAATATAAAAGAACTTTAAGAAAGAGACCACAAACTTGACTAACTTTTCTTTCCATTTAGTGCAGTCTATTGTATCCTGTAATCGACCTGACCTTCTCACCATCTGGATCTCTGTTCCTATGTGTTTACCTTCTTTTATATTGTAATTGTTTTGACCCTAGATTGACCTCCCAGATTCTCTGAGTTTGTTCTTACAGTTTTGTTCTGTTCTTGACTCTTCCCTCTGTTGACTTAATTCTGGGAGGTGCTGCCATGTATGTCAATCTCTGGTTGTTGTCTGTTCTTGTTGGTTCTCAGTCTACAGAACTCCCTTTAGGATGTTTTGTAGTGCAGGGTTGGCTTTGGCAAAATCCCTTAGCTTCTGTTCATCCTGGAATGTTTTGATTACACCATCATATCTGATTGATACCTTTGCTGGATAAAGGATTCTTGGTTGGCAGTTTTTTTCTTTCAGGGTTTTATATATGTCTCCCTGTTGCCTTCTTGCTTGCATGGTTTCTGCTGAGAGATCCGAGCTTAATCTGACTTGCTTGCCTTTGCATGTGACACTTCTGTTTTCCCTGGCTGCTTTCAGAAGTGTCTCCTTATCCTTGATTTTAGAGAGCTTGACTATGATATGTCTTGGTGATTTTCTTTTGGGGTCTATCCTTCCTGGGGTTCGTTGAGCTTCTTGAATGTTTATCTTTTCACTTTTCAGGATGTTAGAGAAAATTTCTTCCAGTTCTTCAACTATTTCCTCTGTGGACTTGTGTGATTCTTCTTGTTCTGGAATGCCGATAATTTTTAAGTTATTCCTCTTCATGTTGTCCAACATGAATGTTAGACCTTCTTCAGAATTTTTTATTCTTTTTTTGTATTTGTTCTATCTTAGTGGTATTGAGAGATTTGTCTTCCAGCTCACTGGTTCTGAGTTCCATCTCATCTGTTCTACTCCTTTGCCCTTTCAGAGTATTGTCTATTTCTGATATTCTGTTATTGATCGTTTGGACCTCTTTCTGTAGGTTTCAAATTGTTTCCAGTGCTGTATCTATCTTATTTGATTGTTCCTGTAGCACTTTCCTGACTTCTTCCCTATTTTTCTCAACTCCATTATAATCATTTTTCTGAATTCCTTCTCAGGCATTTCCAAGGCCTGCCCTCCTTCCAGAATGGAGTCCAGGTCTACCTCTAGGTCAATTGTCTCCGACATTTTATCTTGTTTCTGGACATGTGCTGATATAGTCATCTGCTTTTGCTTCTTGGACATGTTTAGTGTTTATCTGTGGCCTTAATACTAAATTGAGTATGTGTTTTGGTATTATTTATGTTTTCTGATTGCTTCCAGGAAGATGTGATCAGAATGTGGGCTTCCCTTTCCACTCTTCTTATTGCTTAACGCAGAGTAACTTTCACAGGTGTTGTCTGTTTCCCTGGTATATGGCAGTTGGTATTGGTTCTTGCCTGGGTTTTGGTGTTTTGTAGAGTGTGATTGTAGCTTGGCTATATGGCAGCAGTTGCTGACTCTTCTTGTGTAATATATGGAGAGAAAGAGTCCTTCAAAGGTAGAAGGGCGAGCATAAAACAGCCAAACAACACCAGCGGGGGGTGGGGGGGGACAAGAGAAAAAAAAAACCAAAAAACAGCAACAACAAAAACTAGACTAAATACTGCTGCAGTCTATAATCACAGAAAAAGGAGAGGAGGGAGAGAAGAAAAATAAAAATCTGTAGCCTAATATGATTATGACTTTAATGTCCTCTCTTTAGCTTCTTGCTTTCAAAGCTGCCTGAGAGATTTCAAGATGCCAGTGTTGGTTGTTATGCTATACCTCAGACTTTAATTTAATTTTTGGTCTGTTTTGTTTTTAAACTCTCTTTCCCTCTCTACAGCCCTGTCCTGCCCTTTCCCATATTAAGGTCACTATGAGTTGGAACCGACTCGAAGGTACTTAGCAACAGCAATAATTAAGTTTTAGGTAGTTCTCTGAGGACTTGAGGAATCCTGGTGGCACTGTAGGATAAACACTGGACGGCTAACTGCAAGGTTGGCAGTTCAAAACCATGGGAGAAAGATGAGGCTTTCTGCTCCAATAAAGATTTGCAGCCACAGAAACCCTATACAGGGTTGCTATGAGTTGCAATCAACTCGCTGGCAGCAAGTTTGGTTGTGGAGTTTTCTGAGGTCTTGAGTTCAACACCTTATGCTCATTTGCATTTTCCCCAAATAGGAAAAGTAGGCTTTTTTTTTTTTCAAAGACTATAAAGTATGACCATACCTAAAAGACCCAAAGCCAGGTTCCAGCAAAGCAAATAATCATACAGAATTAAACATTGCATAAACAACATATTTTATTACATAGAAAAATTTAAACCATGATATAAGATGATTATGTAGATATTATTATTACAAAGAATTTAAATATACAAACTTAGTTATGAAAGGTCAGGTCAAGCCACTTAGGTGAAAGTTTATTTGTGGTGTCTTGGGTTCCAAGGAGGGCCATAAAAATCAAACAGTGAAAAAAACTCTTTGGTTTTTGGAACCCTAAACATGTTACCTAAGGAGCTCTGGTAGCGTAGTGGTTACGAATTGGGCTGCTAACCTCAGGGTCAGCAGGTCGAAACTACCAGCTGTTCTGCAGGAGAAAGATGAGGCTTTCTGCTCCTGTAAAGATTTACAGCCTCAGAAACCCTGTACAGAGTCTCTATGAGTTGGAACCGACTGCATGGCACATAACAACAAACGTGTTGCCTAGAGAAGGCCATCCACGTGTTTAGATAAATCAGATGTCCAGGGGCAGGGGTGGAGCTCATCTGGCACATCCATAGTTCATAAATTCAGAAATAAATGAGAAGACACAAGGACAGTACATTTAAAAGCAAACACTGTCACATCTTATACAAGAAAGGCATTTCAGAATGCAACGACTCTGGGTGTGTTTCTGGTTTTCAGTTTATATTTGTAAAATGGGGAGGGGGAGTCTCTGATGCAATATGAAAAAACACAGAGAATGGGCATCAAAAGGCATTTGAAGCTCTAAAAGGGCACCAGGAACACTCAACCATCCACAGATACAGGGTCTTCTGGACAGAAGCCCGAAATCAGTAAGACACCGTCCACTGCAATTTCGCCAGTTTTGCCCTTGCCACGTTCTGCTTCAAAAATGATCTAATAGGGAAAGAAAGTGGAAAAAAAAAAAAAAAAAACCGTAAAAAATGTGCAAAACAATGATATAATCAAAAGATTTCACAGCTACTCAAGAGGACAAAACTGTGTTCCTATTGCTTGTTGTTGTTGTCATTAGCTGTCGCTGAGTCAGCCCCCAGCTCCTGGTGCCCCCATGTGTTATAGAGTACAACTCCTCCGTGGGGCTTCCCCCTCCCCCAGGAGAAGAAACTCATTACAACTGGGCTAATAATGTTTATTCAATGGCTTTATATACTTATAGTTTGATCCAGGTGTGGCGCTATAAGATCAGCACTGAACTACGAACCACAAAATCAGCAATTCAAACCCACCAGCTGCTCCTAGGAAACCCTATACAAGTCGCTATGTGTGGGAATGAACTTGACGGCACTTAACAGTTTTTTACCCACCTGGTGTGGCGCTGTAGGATAAGCATATGAGTGCAATGTTGGTTTGAACCGCAAGATTGGCAGTTCAGATTCACCAGCCACTCCTTGGAAACCCTATACGGTACCTCTATGAGTTGGAACAAACTCAACAGTACTTAACATTTTTTACCACCTATTTGTGCACTAATATGTTGCTGAATTACTGATTAGAGACATGCCATCATAATGTGCAGTTGCTAACTAGAAAAGTATCGGACAGATTGCAGAGGTGTTTAATGACATGGTTAAAACACATAAAATAGAAAATGGAGAAACAACCATCTGTAGGGGAAGGTAGTTTGTGAAGTCTGTTTCTATTCTCCTCTCCCCTTTTCTTTTCAGGTGAATTCTAACACGTGTAATGGTACCCCCAGTACCAGTTGCTAAGGAGTTGATTCTGACCCCTGAGGACCCCCTGTTTTCACTGAGTTTTTGGAAGTAGATTTCAAGGACCACCTGAGTAGAACAACTGCATAGGGTGATTTAGGCTATAATATTGACAGAAAGGTCTTAGGTGGCACAAATGGCTTGTACTCAACTAACAACCTAAAGTTTGGTGGTTCAAACTCACCCACTGACTCTGTGAAGAAAATTCTGGTGATCTATTTCCATTAAGATTACAGCTAAGAAAACCCTATAGGGCAGTTCTACTCTATAACTCTGTCCTAAGTCAGCATTGACTCAATAGCAATGTTTTTGTTTATGTGTTTAATCTTTACTGAAGTCATTTTCCAGGTCTTTCTTACACAATACCACAGGGTAGGTTGACCTACCTTTAGGTTAGTAGGTAGAACAAAGCACAAACTATTTGCTCTACCCAGAACCCTATGTTTATGGTCAAACCAAACCCACTGACATCAAGTCAATTCTGAGTCATAGTGACCCCATAGTGACCTAATAGAACCACTACATATGGTTTCCAAAACTGTCAATCTTTATAGAAGCAGGCTGCCTCAGCTTTCTCTTATGGAGTGGCTGGTGGGTTGGAACAACCACCATCCTTTTGGTTACTAAACCAACACTTAACTCACTGCACCAGTAGGACTCCTTCATGTCTATGGTTGTTGTTAAGTGCCATCCAGTACTGAGCGTTGTCAGTTTCGAACTCAATGAAAACTTACTATGGGTCTGTTTGACACAGGCTGTGTAACTCCCTGCTTTCGTGGTTTGAAACGTTATGTACAGAGCTCATCCTTTACTAAAAGAGCAGCTGTCACCACATTTAAAAGAGAAAACATAGGCCTTGGAATAGGCTACATGCCAGTCAACAAAAACAAAACTCACAATAACCTGGATCACACCACAACATTCAAAAGCAAAGTCTCTAACAGTTGGCTGGATCTTGTAAGACAGAGCTGGCCCTGGGGGAAGGGAGCCCTAGTGAGCCTCAGAAATCTCTGAATTTCATTTTGTGACCATCATTTAATTCTGCGCATGAATGGCCACAAAGTTCCCCAGCTCTGCCCTTTCCTTTACAACCCACCCGGATCCTTTCGAGGTGGCGATGACCCTAGCTTCACATTTTATACCTTGTTTCATTACATTGATTATAATCCCCTCCACGTACCATCAGTTAACAGTATTTCTCTCCATCCACTTTAGCATTTTTTAAAAAAACACACAAACAAAAAAACCCACTGAGGCATATATAATAATTTACAACTCCAAAGGGCACATTCTGCAAGTCTGTTCCTGGCCACCAGCTCTTAGTCCTTCTCTTGTTAGTCCATGAATCTAGAGTCCTCAGCCACTCCCCCTCTCCATGCCCCCATCTCTGCCTCCATCTCTGGCACTGCTGCTTCTCTGGATAAGGTCCCGCATTCTGCTTGTGCGCTTCTCTCTTGATGGAATGATTATGACTTTTTACTTTTTTTCAATATAGTAATTTCATTTTGTCTTTTCAGAACAATGTGTGTAAATTCAAACATACAGCAAATTAGCAATTTAAAGAAAGCTCTGTTAGGAATTGTGCTCATAACAACACCTTCGAGCAAACATTCACCATCATCCACAAGCATCTCTTTTTGCTTCATAAATAGTCCCAGACTTGTTTTCAAGGTCACAGTGCTGAAGCAGTTCTAGATTTACTGTCATCACTGTGTCACGCTTTCTCTGGCTCTCCAAAGGGAAGCCACCTGTCAGTGTGTCGTACTGTGATAGCTTGTGTGTTGCTGTGAAGCTGGAAGCTATGTCATCAGGATTTTTAATACCATCAGGGTCATCCATGATGGACAGGTTTCAGCGGCGCTTCTAGACTCAGACAGATTAGGAATAAAGGCTATGAGTCAGATTCAACAACAACATACTACAACTCCGCTGGAAACTTGGGCCTTGCCTCTCCTGGACTTTGCCTATGAGCCTTTTTCCTTTGTTGATTTTAGTCTGTATCCCTTCACTGTAATCAACTATGTATATAACAGTTTTTCTGAGTTCTTAGGGTCCTTCTAGCAAATCATTAAACCTGAAGGTGGTCTTGGGGACACCTGGCCATACCCACTTTTTCAGTTCAGTTTAGTTCAGTTCCAAAACATTAAAAAAAAAAAAAAAATCACCTTCTAGCTGCATACATTGTGATTCAAAGTGCTGGACAGAATACAGATTAAGGGATTTCTAGCCTGCATTGGGGGGAAGTGTGGTGCCGTAGGCTAAGCACTGGACCTCAAGGTCGGTTTCAACTGCAAGGTCAGAGGCTCAAACTCAGCAGCTGCTCCTTGGAAATCCTATACAGGGTCACTGTGAGTCAGAACCAACTCCACGGCACTTCACAACAACAATGTGGTGGCTGGAACTGCAGTTGCCTTGACAGGGCTAGGCCAGATTATTTAGCACTCTGGACTTTCCCCACCCCTGCTCTAGAATGTAAACTCTGTATTCACTTTTGTATTCCTAGTACTTAGGTGCCTCGATAAGTGTGTGTGTGTTAAATCATTAAAAAGGAATGTAAATATCTAATTTGGTCATTTTTGGCCACTTACACTTTTGGTAGTATCCATCCCTTGATACAACTGAATTTTCCCCGTCTTCCATCTTTTGTCTTGACTTTTGGTCTCCTCCCACGCCAGACCATTGTTACTATTTTTCACAAATACTCGAAGCTTCCCCACTTTGTCTCCAGCCAGCCGGTAATCAAAGAGCAAACAGAGGTTGCTTTGGGACTGTAGATTGGGGAGAAGAAGTTTCAATCGGCCAAGGTCCTTCTTGTTCCCCACCAAGGCGGGAACTGCCATATAATGGCCAACAGCTTTAAGAGAAGAAAAGGCATGGTTACCAAGGTAAGGGCTTGACTGGAATGTAGACAATAGCTATAAAGATGAATCACAGTTGCCTAGAAGGTAAACTGGAAGTCTTTTTCATTTGGAACACAGGAGCAAGAATTTTGTTTTAAAATGGATGTTAAAAAGATTATACAGTTGAAATCCTTTATTATATCAAGAGAAATTCAGGAATTTGTCCATATTCGCAAAGCTTAGTAGGAGGCAATACGGAGGAAGAATCTACTTAAAAGTGTCCTTTAGCCCAGTCAGAAATTTCCGACTGAGCATGCGTTGATCTCCATCTTGGCTGTCTGAACCATGGAGTGCATTTTTCTGCTGAGTCAATGATAATGGACAATGGCTGGGGTCAGTTTGTAGTGTGTTATTTAATCAGCACCTGTGCTGATGATAATGTAGCGCTATAAGAACACATCTTCATCTACTACTGCTATCGTCTAAGTATCTTTTAATCAATTGGTGCAGTAATGAAGTACTCAGCTGCTAACCAAAAAGTCAGCAGCTCATCTCCTCCCCCCCGCCCCCCGTGGCTCCATGGGAGAAAGGAGTGATAGTCTGTTTTGGCAAAGATGACAGCCTCGGAAACCGTATGTGGCAGTTCTACTCTGCACTACAGAGTTGCAATAAGGCTTTGCACTTTGGGCTTAGTTATTGGGCTTTTGCTCAACTGCAGTCGTCTGCTTTGGGCTTTTATGCGCTTGGACAGAACCTCTCAAAGAGTGGAGTCTGAAGAAATGAGCAAGACGGAGAAATTTCTACAGAGACTAGGAGAAAGTCAATGGGGAGGAATGGGGTCTTTGGCTAGTACAACCACCATAGCCACGTATTTGCCAGACACAGGTAGTCATTGCCTTAGTTTTTAGTGGACCCAGAGTGTCTTATCTTCTTCCCAAACTCGTAGAATTATTTGTTGTTGTTGTTAAGTACTGTGGAGTCGGTTCCGACTCATAGTGACCCTTCACAGGGTTTCCGAGGCTGCAAATCTGTACGGGAGCAGAAAGCCTCATCTTTCTCCTGTGGAACTGCTGACCTCAGCCTGATTCGTAACTACTACACTACCAGTTATAAGACTCGGCAATACAAGGACAGGATGCCCAGTTAGATTTGAATTTCTAATAAACAACATGCCACAAATATATTAAAAAACAATTTGCTGTTTGTCTGAAATTTCAGTTTGACTTTACATTTTAGTTATTTGGCAAGTGCTGTGGGTTAATGCGCCAGACTGCAAAGCCATTTGAACTACAAGGTCAGTGGTTCAAGCTCACCAGCTGCTCCTCGGAAACCCTATACAGGGTTGCTATGGGTCAGAATCGACTCAATGGCACTTCACAACAACAACCAACTAGGAACACTTGTTCCTTGTCTGACTGTGGCAGCTTTCCTCTCATCTCCTGACTATTGGTTCATTTGGAGCTGTTTTTGAGGTTTTAGCCTGCTAATATGTTCCATTGATACTTAACTCAGTAGGGAAAGACAAGCCTTCTGCACTTGGAGTGATTTGTTACACAAGGGGGTTGGGCTTCTTCAAACCCTCAGTACAAATGCTGCAGGCAGGTGTGGACGAACCCAAGGAGCTAGCATCATATATATCATCCACTCGAGTGTCAAACGACGAAGGTGGAAGTGAACTTCTGTGATACAAGTTCTTTCAGTTAGACATGACCTGCGCTAGAATCCTGTTGTGACGCTGTAGGATAAACACCATTTGTTCCTCAGAAACCCTATACATGGTTGTTATGAGTTGGAACCAACTTGATGGCACTTAACAATAACAACAGAGATCTCTAGGGTCATTATGAGTCAGATTTAACTTGATGACACACACCACCAACAACAATAGAGATCTGGTGTGGGCAGGAGGGAAGGGATATGAGTTGAGTGGTGCAGATGCTGAGGATCCTGGGACCATTTGTGAATTGGGTGTTTGTAAATAAAGGACTTCACATAGATGGAAAATCCAACTAAGTCATTACTGACTAAATGAGCTATCAAGTTCCTGGAATTACCAATTGGGCTCCCAGTGTGATATAGCTCTGTTAGCCCTAAATGTGGAGATGTGAAGATGGAAGAAAGGAGAAACTCAGGTTAGTTCTCAACTAGATAACTTCTCCGAAAAAGATGTCTTCAGACTGGTTAAAGTTGCTCTGTGCTTGTTCTGAAGTTTTAGCAATTGTCTCACTCACAAGACTTGTTGTGTGAGATGTGCCCTCTCTACCCTAATTCCAGGCCCTGAAAACAATCCTTATGAGTGGATGGATACCCAGTTTTTCTCATTGCAAGTGAGAGCTTGCAAAGAAATATTTCAGGGAGGATTTAGTGTGGAAGAAGGATCTAGAAGAAGGATCTCTTAACTGAGACTTAAGCCTGTACACTCCCAAGAAATAATTTCATCGATAAGGGATCAGCCCTTAGGAGATAAGATTGCAAGCCCATTGCTCTACACCAGGAGTAGGGAGAACTTAGGAAACAACCAAACCATTGCCTTCCAGTCGATTTTGGATCAAAGTGACCCTACTGACATTGATGTGATAGGACAGAGTAGAACTGCCCCATAGGGTTTTCAAGGCTGTCACATTTCTCTCCTGTGGAGTGGCTGGTGGGTTTGAAGCACCAATCTTTTGGTTCACAGCTGCACACTTAATCACAGTGCCACCAGGGCTCCTGGGGGGAAGGAAACTTAAGTCCCATTAATAGTCTTCAAGCAGACAGTGAGTGGAAAGGGCTTGATGTGCACAGCCCAGAGTGGAGGTGAAGAAGCCAGGTCCAGCTGAGAAGAAGGTAATCCTTAAGCAATGGAAAGGGAAGCTCAGTCCAAGAGTTCAGGCCATTGGCTTGAGGCTCACTGTGGTTTTGGTGCTGAGGGGTGATTCTACTCCAAATCCAGGTATAAGTGGAGGCTGGATCTCCTTTCAAGATTTATTTCCCTCAAACATCAAATTAGAAACTATAGAACATCATGGCTGGTAAATCGGGGGAAAGGAGCAACTTCTTTCTACCTGTTTCCCAACACTTGCAGCCCTCACATGCATTATAACCCCTCTTTCTCAGCAGCCAAAGGGTGGAGATAGAAGAGGTTTACTGGAGCGTCCTTTGTGGGGTAGGTGGGTGAGAGAGGGATTAGGGGGAGAATATATAGTCATCCACAGTGGAGAACTTGGAAGGTATAAAGGTTTTCAAAGATGCCAAGCAACCCTGATCTACTGAGTGACAAGAATAACCACCCCCTCATTATTGGGGAGGAGCTCTGATGGTACAGTGGGTACTACATTAGGCTGCTAGCTGAAAAGTTGGCAGTTCAAATCCACCAGCTACTCCGCAGGAGAAAGATGAACCAGTCTCCTTCTATAAATACTTAGTCTTAGAAACCCTATGGGGCAGTTCTCTTCTATCCTACAGGGTCACTATGGGTTGAAATTGACTCAGTGGCAGTGAGTTTGGTTTGTGGTTCATTAACTGGAGGATCTTCTTTACCTTCATCATATTGCAGAACACAAAATTACTGAAATCTAAATACCATTATCTCGATCAGCAGGACTCCAGTCAAAATCATCTTCTATATCCTGTTTCCAGTCACAGATCCCATGATCAAAACTGCAGTCTGCTGAGATATTGAAATCTGCAAAGAAGCAGTGTACATTTGTACATTACAAAAATCAGTTGCACACAGTAGGTTCAGCTCAGGGCAACCAAAAGGCCCTTTAGGATAGCATCAAACCACATACCCAAGTTTGATTCAAACCTGTGAAGCCCCATTCTGAACAAATTCTATTATGATCTTAAATAAAAAGGTGAAAAAGCCAGCCCCACTCAAAAAAAATTAGTTAACTTTCTTTATTTTACATCATGATTCCAACATTCCCATTAGAAACTTGTCACTGTGTTGTATCAAATCAGCAGACAAACAGCCTGTCTCTAAATGAGAGAATGACTGCTTTGTTCAGCTATGTCAGAGAAATAGAAGAGTTGATTTGCTTATAGAAATTTGGAACCACTGCCTCTGGTTTGTTTTATGTTGATCAGGGCTCAGCAAACAAACTTCTAGACTACTGCCTGATTTTAGAAATAGAGTTACATAGAAATGTTCTTGTTGTTAGGTGCCATTGAGTTGGTACCGACCCATAGCGATCTTATGCACAGCAGAACAAAACACTGCCAGATCCTGGGCTAACCTCACTACTGTTGCCATGCTTGAGTCCATCGATGCTGCCACTTGGCCAATCCATCTTGTTGGGGGTCTTCCTCTTTTTCTCTGACCCTAAATGTAGTCCCATTGAATTTTAGACTTTGTAGGTCCTAGAGCCTCTGCCAAAACTGATTCAAAAGAAAAAATCCCATGGTCTTTTCATTCCATTTTCCCCATGAACTTTGTGAAGTCCCCTCATATTTAATATCCTCTCTGTCACAGAAAAGATCTGCTGACCTCTTCTGTAAATAATTTTTAAAACTACCACTGGGAAAGAAGGGGGAAGATGGAGCTACTCCTGATTGATGACTAATGCCAGCTGCAGGGGCCTCTGATGTTGGGGCATTAGCTGTTTAGTGGTTTATGCTGTGGAATACGAGAATGACAAGGAAATGGAATAAGCTAGTGGCAGCAATTGATATTTGACTCATTGCAATGGCAAAATATTTATATATAGTGTCATTTCATTATTGTCACAAAAATTCTAATTCAGACCCATTTTCAAGGCAAATAAATTGAGACTTGTAATTGATTTGTCTTGTTTTTTGTTTAAGTGCTGTCGAGTTGGTTCCAACTCATAGCAACCCTGTATAGAGTTTCCAAGGAGTGACTGGTGAGTTTGAGCCGCCTGACCTTAGGGTTCGAACTGATCTTGAGGTCGAGTGCTTATCCTATGGTGCCACAACTGGACTCCTCTGAATTTGTCTAGTTTCCTTCATGTACTGAGTGCTGGCATTGACCTTTAACCCCAAATCAGTCTGAAATCCAGGTCTGTCAATCCTGCACTACCACACTGTTCTCATTTTCCTTTCTTTTCACCCCCTAGGTTTAAAATCAGGAATACTTGCTTCTAGTCTTCAATACTCCTTAATGACTGCTCCTACATGGACAACAAGTTGATGTTACCAACCCACAAACAGAGTGTACATTTTCTGGGTTGGTTTATGATTGTGAAGGTGCCCTGGTGGCACTTGGCTGCTAACCGATACATTGGCGGTTCAAACCCACCAGCCCTCCACAGGAGACATACCTGGTACTCTGCTTCCATAAAGATTTACAGCCTTGGAAACCCTATGGGGCTGTCCTGTATGGACTAGGTGGCCATGGGTTTGGTTTGTTTGTTGTTGTTTTTCTAATTGTCTTCTTTCTTCTTCCTCAATGTGCAAAATACTGGGAATGTAAACTGTGGCTGCTGAACAGGGAACTAGTCACTAAAAAAATAAAACCAAAGGCTTTGGCCACCTGAGCATAATATCTGGAGACCTTTCATTTGTACAACACATTATGGTTTTCAAAGTGCTTTCAGCTACTGTATGTTCTTTGATTGATCTTCACCTACCCCTGTAGCAAGGAGCTCTGGTAGCGTAGTGGTTACCAATCGGGCTGCTAACCTCAAGGTCAGCAGTTCGAAACTACCAGCCATTCCACAGGCGAAAGATGAGGCTTTCTGGTCTCGTAAAGATTTATAGCCTCAGAAACCCTGTCCAAGGTCGCTATGAGTCGAAATTGACTCCATGGCATACCACCACCACCCCTGTAGCTGATGCTGTTGGCACCCCACCAACTGCTATTGACAATCATTGTCCCTTGCAGGTAAGTAAGTGGCTTTTTACTGCAAGCTTCTGCAACTAGAGGAAGCGCTTTGTGCCCGTAAAGATTAACAGCCTCGGAAACCCTGTGCAGGGTCTCTATGAGTCAGAACCGACTCCACGGAATACAGCAACAACAGCAACATGTAGGAATACGCTTTGGCTGGACCATGCTGGGACCAGGCAGGACCGGTCAGAATACAGGGGAGTTATTTCTCTAGGAAGACTCTCAACCCATGAAGGACAGGAGGAGGAGGTGGAAGATGCCTTCATTTCTTTGCCATTGGGTGGGGCTTTTAAGTAAGGGAATTAGACACTGAAATCTGATTGGATTCCAGGTTCTATACAGTCTTACAGAGGGTCCAAGTGGGATGAAGGGCCAGTTGCCACAGTAATGCCCTTTCCTGCCTTTGTGGTGAACCAGGATCACCAGGATATTAGTATCAGTTGGGAATTGGTGTATAAATACCCCAGCTCCAGTAGGAAAATTATCTTTTTTAACTTTTTATTGTGATTTGAGTGAAAGTTTACGGACCAAATTGCTTTTCCCCTCAGCACTTCATGCCCATTTTGATTCATGATGCAGAATGCAATCCTTACAATGCACTCTTCTCACCTTCTTCCTGTTACTCATTTCCATGCGTCCTTCTTCCCTGTCCCCATCCTGCCTTCTGAGCTTGCTCCTTGAGCAGGTGCTGCTCTTTTGATCTCAAATGGCTGTTTGTTCTAAGAAGTGTGTACTTGCCTGGTGTTACTGTTCAGTTTATAGGCTTGTCTACTGTTTGGCTGAAAGTTGAACACGGGGGTGAGTTCAGTTCCAGACTTGAAGAGTGAATAAGGGCGAGTCTCAGGCTTCCACCAGTCTCTATCAGACAAATCAACCTGGTCTCTTTTGAAATTTTATTTTAAATTTTGAGTTTTGTTCCACATTTGTCTCCCACTCTATCAGAACCTCCGATCATGATCCCTTTCAGAGTGGTCGACTGTGATAGCTGTGTACCATCTAGTTCTTCTCAGAGTCATGGAGGCTGGAGTTTGTGTGGCCCATTAGTCCTTTGAATGAACTATTTCCATGCTGATTTGATGATCTTCACTCTTCTTTGCAACTTAGTCCAGTGGGATAATTCTGCGGTGTGTTCTACATGATCTCCCAGTGTGATAGAATACCAATTGCCCACAGTGGAATCTTTCTTGATAACTCTCAAGGATTGAGTTGCATCCCCCTCCCCCCCCCCCCCAAATATGTATCAGCTTGGCAGGGCAATGATTCTCAGTTGTTTGGCAGTTATGTGATGACCCCCTTTGGTGTGATCTGAATGTGATAAACCAAAAAGAAGATTAAGACTGGGATACACCACCCTTAGCATGTTGTTATTGTTGTTAAGTGCCCTTGAGTTGGTTCTAACTCATAGCAACCCTGTGTAGTTTTCCCAAGGAGCAGCTGAATGGAAGAAATGAGGAAGTAAAAGAGCTGAACAGAAAATGAGAAGACAAAGTCAAGTATTATAATTAAATGTGCAATCAGGGAGGTACACACTCCTTATAACTATCAACCATTTGAGATCAAATGGGCAACATTTACCTAAGGACAAAATTCAGAAGGATTAGGAAAGGACAAGGAGCAAGTGGGCTAAGTGATGGATGGAGAGGATTGCAGTCAATGACACGAGACAAAATGTGGATTGATTGCTGAATGAAAAATGGATTTGCTCTGTAAACCTTTACACAATTCAGAAAAAAAAAAAAAAAAAAACTTGAAGAAAAAAATTCAACAAGACTTACTTGGGGTAATTGTTATTTACCTGTGTGTTCCAGTTTGGATGTTAGAGGTTTTCTCTGGACCACAACCAGACCAAATTCATTTGCTTCATCAACCTTAGGGGCTAATAAAGAACACTTGATCAGTTCTGAAGAAACTAAAAACATCATATGTTTAATAAAGCATACAGGCTTATCCTATATAGATAAAGGAATTAATGTTTTATTTTATGAATACCTGTCTGTCCATCATTGGTGATGTCAAGATCAAACATTGGCTTTAGGCAGTGTCTGCCTGTTCCTCCATTGTAAGAGTACCGTTTACCCTTAGTAATTAATCAAATTAATACTTGCTCTATGGGTGAGATTTTGAGATATTTTAAGACTTTATGACTATCTTATTCATAAACATTTTTTCATCCAATGATCTTAACATCTATTGGGGCTTCTGGCCTGGATCAGTGATTATTATGATGGTTTTAATATGGTAGAGCACTTTTTCTAACTCATGCAAAAATACTTAAAAAAAAAAAAAATACTGCTATAAGGACTGACCTACAAGTTTGCACTTTGAGGAGATGCAGTTTCCTACCATGGATAATTGAATCTGACCTCAGGGCTTTGAACCAGTTTGAACTGTTTCAGTCATGGCCAACTAAGCAAAACTCACCTCTCTGATGAGACCTGCTAGGAGCAGCCAATCAGTTGAAAAGGAGTTTCCTCAGAGGCATGGCCTCCATCCAGTATATATGGATGTTCTGGCAATGCTCACTGACTGGCTGTTTGCTCCATCTACATCCTGCACCTGGCTTGTAATCATCTGACCTCCAGTTCTTTGGACTTGAGCTAACAGCCTGCCATCTTACCTGATGATGTTGGATTTGTCAGTCCCTGCAATTATGTGAGTCAGGAGAAAACTCCTCCTGACATCTGACCCATGGATTTGGGGCTTGCCAGTTGACAACCACATGAATCATTTCCCTGCTAAAACTCTCTATATATACATACATGTAAGGGTTCTTCAAAAAGTTCATGGAAAAATGGAATGAAGATAATGGAGTTTTTTGACAAGTTTTTTGAAGCTCCATTGTGTATAAGCTTCACTGCTTTTGCTTCTTTAGAACTCAGCCTAAGACAGTGAGACTCAGAAGAGGCATAGTGAGCCCTTTCAGGAGCCTAACTGGGAGCTGGGATTGTGGTCAGGACAGTGGAGAGAGACACATATTCAAAGCAGTGTGGTAGACTGGGGCATCATTGTTTCCAACTCTGTCGATCAAGAGGTTTAGTTGCTATACAGCATACACACTGCCCTTGTTTTCAAGAGGGAGATTACGTTTCTAGCAGGACATCAGCCTATAATTTTTCCTACTTCAGTTTTCGTTCTGGGTCACCATGGTTTACAAAGTCAGGTCCATTCAAGTATATTTTGTTGGCCATGAGTGAACCAGGTAGAATTGGTTTGAAGCTCTAATTTACCTCTACAAGTATGTCTTTTAAATTAAATTATTTTAAAAATATCTTAATTTTTAATCTCTTTACATCCGTAATATAAACTTTGTGATACAGGGAGGCAAAATGAGACTCAAAGAGTCTAAAAATGATCTCTGTGTCAACCCTAGGCTGCAAATTTCTCGTGTCAAGGTCTAAGATGGTATTTGGAATTATGAGAGATATGAGAGTAGAAGATCTGAGTATTGATTGAGAATCTGTGACTATATAGGTATCAGATAAGGACAGAAAGCTTTTCAACTATGGCCCCATTGATGGTTTATATTAAGAAAAAACAAGCTAACAACCCCTTCCCCAGCAATTAGCAATTAGCAGTGTCGTCACCTACTTTGAAAAACTGGGAGCAATTTAAATGATTTGGGAATGTTAGGGACATTCTAGTGCTGGAAATATGAGATTATTATATAGCCATTATGACATGGAAAAATAAATGATAGCATTATATTGTTACACAGTAAGGAAGAAGGCTTCTGATATACTATTCAGTATAAACAGGATAATGTAAAATTTCAATTAGGGTAGTATGACCATAGCTCTCTAATACTAGGTATACTAATAGACAACATGTGAAAACGCATGTGAAAAACGGAAAAGATTTAGCAGTTGTGTGATTTAACCATTTGCCCAACCCAGGGACCCCAGGCTAAGTCTAGTGCCAGGTAAATAGTCCTAAGGCAGATGTCTGGTGGGCAGACAATGGAAAGAGATGGAGTCTGTGGTTAGGACACCTAGCTGTCTTTTCCCATCTACCAGGCAAGTTGGGGTTAATAGACTTGGAAGGACATCTGTAGCCTTCCTATCGCCCCCAGACAAAGCCGTCATTCTCAGAGCCATGAAATATTCTGCACAGAGCTCACCTCTCAAAGCAAAGCCTTCTTACAATCTATACACATAGACTAATGGAGGAGGGAAGGCTCCGGGGTGGTTCCAGAATCCATGAATCTGGGGGAGCCCTCCCCACTCCAGCTCAACTTCTCTGCTCAGCTGGAAACCAGAGGGAATGTCTAAGCAGTTGTTTACATCTAAAATGGTACTTCTGGTATGCCAAGCATGAGGATGTTCAGGATTTTAAAAAAAGGAGCAAAATGATACATATGTGTTTAATACACTTCTATAAGTAGATTTGCCTCATAGTAAACAAGTTTTCTTTCATAGTAATTAAATTACATAGTATACAATAAATGCTCCCTGAGAACTGTCCAAATGAATAAGTAAATAAAAGACAGGGGGGGTGGGGGAAAGGAAAAAGAAAAAAAATGAGCTGTTTTACCCTTAACTATAGTTTGGAAAATAATAAAAATAATTTGGGAAAATATGGCCGGGTAAATTGTTTTCAAGTTTCTTGATATGGAATCAAGTACAAGTATTCAATGTGTGCATATCATTTTAGAGGAAAATAAAAATCTGACTTGAAGTGCTTATAAAAAAAAACTGTATTGTCACCAGAAACTATTTTGAACTACCTATTGTCTGGCATAAGGAGCTCTGGTAGCGTAGTGGTTATGCATCGGGCTGCGAGCCTCAGGGTCAGTAGTTCAAAACTACCAGCTGTTCCGCGGGAGAAAGATGAGGCTTTCTGCTCCCGTAAAGATTTAAAGCCTCAGAGACCCTGTATAGGGTCGCTATGAGTTGGAACCGACTCCACGGCACATAACAACAACAACATTGTCTGGCATGGCACGTGCCTGCTGGAGCTAGAAGGAAAATGAATTTCATCAGCTCAGTTAAAAGTGATTACTGAATGATGAATAGAAGCCCCATGAGGGGCTATTGTCTGTCTGGTTTACTTCTGTTGTTGATGTTGTTTAGTGCCCTAGAGTTGGTCCTATATAAGGTTTCCGAGACTTTACATCTTCACAGGAGAAGAAAGCTTCATCTTTCTCCCACGGGGAAGCTGGCAGGCTCGAAACACGGACTTACTTCTGTTGGCACTCAATAAGTATGCATCGAATGACTGACTGAACATACAGGGGTATCATGTATTCCAGTGATAGAATACATTAGAGCAGTGCTTCCCTAACACTTCTGCATCATTTCCATTGACTCCAGTTTCCTCGACCTTCTCCAGAAGTTCCCTCAAGGGATCTAAGCTACTGATTCTCCCCCAGGTTTTAGAATAGACTTTCCTGGATGGATGGTCCATGTCTAACTTTTCATTTGGTTGAATCCAACTGGCATTTGTGTAGATGATTACTAGCTATGGGGTCCAGACTAGACAAAGAAAATGCAGAGGGAGAAACAAATGCCCAGTAAGAATGAACTGGCAAAGTCTCAGTATGGGGAACCTAGAGTGGGTTAAAATGGAAACCTTTTTGGAGGTGCTGCGATTTCCAGAGGGTTCTGCATAGCAACCAATGAAAAAGGGAATATGACATCCAGTTCAGGCAGAATCTTAAACTCCAGGATGGAATGCTTTTTCACCTATTACGATCAATGTTAGCTTTTAAGTCATAACTACATAACTGTGAAGTTCCCCCTTTGCATAGTTTTTCATAGGGAGCCTGTAAAAAACACCTTCAAGAACTATTTACTTCTTGAGCTTGGCAAAGCCACATGGGACGGTCCCTCCAATCTGGGAGGGGGTACCTCACATGGATGAGTCTCTGGGTGGTACAAACTGTGAATATGTTCAGCTGCTAACTAAAAGGTTGGAGGTTCAAGTCCACCAAGAGATATCTCAGAAGAACGGCCCGGTGGTCTACTTCTGAAAAGACTGCCACAGAAAACCCCTATGGAGTGCAGTTCTACTCTGACGTGCTTGGGGTGGCCATGCATATGGATAGCTGATAACCAGAGAACTCTGTTTCAGGGAGAAATGCATTTACTTGGCTGGGAGTGGGGAAAGAGGACCGGAACCACATAAGAAACTCCCCAGAGGGAGAAGGCCATACCCTACTTGCTTTCCAGTGCTGCTCCTTTGATTGACTATCTGACTAAGATGTTAGTTTCCAGACCTTCCAGAGAATCCCACATCTCAGGATTTATGGCTGATTGTACAATACATACTCAGTAGTCAACAACAGAGACCTCAAACACACCAACAATCATGAAGATGGTGCAGGGCAGTTATTTTCCATGAGTGTGAGCAACCTGACGGTAACAACAACATTGTACTTAAGGCATGAAACTCTCTTTGCAGCTTTCATTTGCTAGGATAAATCACAGTTCATTTTCCATAACGTGTAAAAAATGAAAGGAATACTCACAAAACACATCTCCTCGAAGCCTTTGCTCCTGCTCCACGTGGTTCTTCAGAGCTTTCTCATCTCTTTTCTCTCCCCCAAGCCCCATTTCCTTTCTCTCTTCAGGCCCCTTTTTGTCTCCATTAGCGTTCTCCCTTTGGTAAACATTTTCTTCATAGTTGAATGGCTGCAAGTTAACCTTAGGAGCAGGAGTACCAGTGCATTCTGGGATTGCATTGTTAATTTTTTCCTTCTTTCTCATACTCTTCTTGTGAGCAAGCAGCTTCTTGATTGTATCTTTGACGGTACTAGGCACTCTGTGGATTTCCTTCACAGAATTCTCAGGGATAACTACAACAAACAGAAAAGGTGAGAAGCCCCAAATTACAGAATGATTTCACCACTCATTACAAACAGCGCATTTAAAGTGTGAAAGTGAATGTTTTTAGAGTTAAACCACATGAGGATCTCATGTGATTGACATGTTAAGAAAAGCTGCATTTTCATCTGTTCCAATGTTATGATAGTGAGAGGAGACAGTTAGAGGACACATGTTTTGGTGCAATAACTTCCTATAAGGAGCCCTGGTGGCACAGTGAGTCAAGCATTGTGCTGCTAACAGAAACATCAGCAGTTCAAACCCACCAGCTTTTCCTTTGGAGAAAGATGAGGCAGTCTGCTCCCATAAAGAGTTACAATCTTGGAAACCCTATGAAACAGTTCTACTCTATCTTACAGGGTTGCTATGCATTAGAATGGACTCCACAGCAGTTACTTTATTTTTAACTCAATTGGCTAGAGTCCATCCATGGGTGTTGTAAATGGTTAATGTGCACAACTGCTAACAAGAAGGTTGGAGGTTCAAGTCTATCCAGAGGCACCTCAGAAGAAAGAACTTGTGATCAACTTCTGAAAAACCATTGACAAATCCTATAGAGCACAATTCTGTTCTGACCCACAGGGGGTCACCATGAGTCAGATATGATCAACAGCAGCTGGTTACTGGTTACCCAGTTGGGCTACAGATCCCAAGGGATGGATTTTCCAGGGACTTCTAATATTTCTGCTTTCATATTGATATTCCCCAAAGCTGGCGTTCTCCAACAAAAACAGAAAACCTTAAACACATTGCCATCAAGTTGATTCCAACTCACAGCGACAACTTTACGAGGGCAGACAACCTCATCTTGCTTCCTGGAAAGGCTGATTGATGGGTTTAAACTGCTGACCTTGCAGATAGCAGTTCAATGTCTAACCCATAGCACCACCAAGGTCCCTTCGATGTTGCTTTGGTAACCCTATTTATTTGTTCCAATTTGATATTCAAAGATGCTAGCTGTGGTATTAAACCATATGACATTGCCAATAATGGACAATTTATGAGTAAAAACCAGTAATTTATATTTCCCTGTATACATACCAAATTTTGCTTTCTCTTTTTCTCTTCCCTTTGAATTTCTTCACCACAGTCAATGACTATTGAAAGCGAATTGATTTTATTCATTCAGCATTTATAGTGGCAGCTCTATTTCCTGCTTTCCATAGATTTCTGATTTCTCACCACCAACTTAAAAATGAACTTCTAGGTTGTGGCCTCCTATTTCCCAGTGGATCATTGGTCCTGAGGGGTGGGGTGAGTGTAGAAGAACTCCAAAGGTAGACAAAAGGAAACTTAGTGTTTTATCCCAAATCACTGAGCTACCTAGAGGCAGAGCGAGGATTGGAGGGTAAAGTTGATGACTGAGCCTTTTCCAGCTCTATTTCCATGATAGGTTTATTACTGTATGAGGGTTAAATGGTAGTTTTCTCTAGATTGGTTTACATTCCTTCAGATCTAGAATCTAAAGATGCTTGTCTTTTTTCAAGGGATACTAGCCATAATAATTCAGACTATTCAACCGATGCAACAAAATAGTTTATTTTTTAAAAAATTAAAAACACTCATTTTTGAAATCAAGTCCATTTTTCTATTCTAAAATACCTAGGCCCATGCCCGTCTGAGAGTAAACAAAAAGGTTTTCATAACTCCTGAATCAATTCACTCAATTCTACCACCTGGCTATAGTTTAGAGGGGAATGAAATAGGGTAGTAGACACCAACTTGAGTCCTAAAAAGAATCACATAACCTAAGAACTCCTGGTTTGGTGCTGTAGGATCAGCATTTGACGGTAAACCACCAGGTTGGCGGTTCAAATCCGTCAGTTGCTCCTTGGAAACCGTGTACAGAGTTGCTGTGAGTCAGAATTGACTCAAAGCACTTAACAACAACAACAACAACAAAGGACAAATTTTAGAAGGATTGGGAAACAAGGAGGAATTGAAACAAGAATCACAGGGAGGAAGTGGGATACGTGACATTACACGGAGGGGACTGCAATCACTGATATGATATGAAACCAAGTGTAGGATTTGTTGAATGTAAAATTGATGATCTGCTCTGTAAACCTTCACTCAATTCACAATAAAAAAAGTTTTTTTTAAAATGAGAGAGAGAAAAAAAAGAGAGAACAGTACTTAGAGGTCAATTTACAGCAATAAATGCACATACCAAAAAGGTAAGAAAGAGCCCAAACCAACACCTTGCCCTGATAACTCCAACAAATAGAAAAAGACCATCCAAAAAGCTCACAATCACTAGAAGAAAGAAAGAGTACAGGTTTTTTATTGTCGAGTGCTGTCAAGTCAGTTCTGAATCATAGCAACCCTATACAGGGTTTCCGAAGAGCCACTGGTGAGTTTGAACTGCTGACCTTGTGGTTCAAACCAACCTTGTGGTCCAGTGTTGTATCCCACAGCACCACACTAGGGCTAAAAAGTAGAGCCCAAATAAATGAAACAGAAACCAGAAAAAATAAAAATAGAAACCCCAACAAGACTAGAAAGGGTTAATAAAACTGACAAACCACTGGCCAGACTAACAAAGGAAAAGAGGAAACAGATACAAATAACACAACAGAACTAACTAAAAATGATAACCAACAAGAAATGGATGAATTTCTCGAAACTTATTACCTACTAGCCCAGACTGAGGTAGAAAACTTGAACAGACCCCTAACAACAATAAATGAAATAGAAGAGGTCATTAAAAAATAAAAACCCAAACCAAAAATCTCCCAACAACAAAAATCAAAAAGCCCTAAGCCTAGACAAAAAAAAAAAAAAAAAAAAAAGTATAAAAATAAATTGGATTAGAATTTTGAGGTTTTTTTGTTGTTGTTGTTTTAACCAGTGTTTTAATCTCTTCTTTGAAGAGTCAGCTCCTTGACAATCTGCATCAAACTGGTAGAAAAAAATGGACAAAAATCTATAATATGTTAGAGTAACCAAAAAGAGTAAGAAAATTGCTTTGAAAACATCTATGCTACTAATTAGCTATGTAGCATTTACTTTCCCATCAAAGACTGTTATGACAAAACAGATACACTTCCCTTTTCAATGAAATAGTCTAGTTATTTATCACTGTAACAGTGTGAAGTTATAGGTACCAAGTCAGTAAGTATGAATGCAAGTAATACATCGTGCCTCATTTTCCTGATCTGCAGATGGCCTCTTTTATCTACTTTTCCAAGTGTTGACTGTAAAGTCCTAATCTTTCACTAGAAACCCTACTATGTCATTCTGTCCACGGTTCCCTGAATCTTTTCCCAGTACCCAGTATGAAAAATGAACAGGAACCACCCACCACCTATACATTTATTTTATGCAATCAGTAACATAAAACTCTGGACTTTAATAATTAATGAGAGTGGGTTTCAATCCGCACCAGGCAAACTGAAACATCTGCTTTCAGTTTCTGCTTTGACGTTTTTCTGGTTGAAAAGAGAGAGAGAGAGAAGAAAAAAAAAAGAAATCAAGACACCCTAACCTTTGTGGTATCAATAATTTTCCCCCTAAGGATGTAAAGAGCAAGCTGGAGCAAGGACAAAAATGCAGCCTAAAGAACAGAGCTGGCTTTGTCTGTCACCGTATGTCGATTTCCAATTTGACATAACTAATGATTATTTTCCTTTCATAATATCCCTTATCATTGCATCATCTTTTCCAGAATATAAGAACATGGGAAGAAGTTGTATTAGGAGGGTCTTTAGCAAGTCTGAAGATCTCAGACATGAAAGTAGGGAATTCCAGACCCTTCAGGTTTGCACACTGGTCTTCTTCATACTCATTGGTGAAGTTGGCAATTTCTCCTAGGAGGGATTTGCAAGTTCTCTGAAGGCCCACTTTGCCCACATCGTCTACGTTGAAGAAGAATTAAGACCTGAGAGTTCTAATTTGAATTTCATGTCTTTGGGATAAGGTGTTATTTCTAGAAGATCAGTATGATGTGGGAATAACTAACCCAGGAGGACTGTGGTTTTAACATTTATTCATCAGATGATTTCCTGTCATCTGGCAAGAGTTTTGCTTACAGTCCTTGGAGAAGTTCAACTGTGAATGGAGAATATAGTGTACTGTGGGACCCAGGCTGCAGGCAGGGGTGAGAATGGAAGCAAGACTTTGTCAGAGAAGCGAGATGGAGACATCTCCATCACAGAGGGTAGCTGTCAGTCATGGGACAACCTACACAGGCAGACCTCAGAGTTCCAGACCACCCACCACAGGAATGGTTTCCCAGTGTATATAGAAGTTACACTGACACTATATTATAGCTTATTAAGTGTGTGACAGCATGATGAAAATGTGTGAAACTTGGGAGAATGACCAAAATGTGACACAGAGACATGAAGTGAGTACAAGCCGTTGGAAAAATGGTGCCTATGCACTTGCAGCAAAGGGCTCAGACAGAACAATTGGGAGGCTAGTCCAGGACTGGGCAGTGGTGTGTTCTGTTGTGCATAGGGTGGCTAGGAGTTGGAGCTGACTCGACAGCGGTTAACAAGCAACACAAAATGGACTTGTTTGACACAAGGTTGCCACAAACCTTCATTTCGTAAAAAAAATCTGAAAAGTGCAGTAAAGTGAAACGCCATAAAACGGGGCATGCCTGGGTTTGACTCCCTAGCTACCACGTCTTCTAGTCATATGACCTCAAACTAGAACTTACCCTCTCTTTGCCTCAGTTTCTCCACTTATAAAATTGGGATAAGAATAGCTGTTTTTGAAGTTTAAATGAATGAAGACAGGACAATAAGGTTAATGACTGAAACATACATACAGGTAATTAACTTGGGAGGTGACTCCAGGATCTCTATAAGTGAGGGAACAGGGAAGTGAGAAAACTCATAAAGGGTGACTTAATGTGTAGATTGGAATCCTGGTGCGGCTGCTGTAGGATAAGCAATGGACCACAAAGTTGGTTTGAATCACAAGGTCGGCCGTACAAACTCACCAGCCACCTCTTGGGAGCCCTATACAGGGTTTCTATGAGTCAGAACGGACTTGATAGCACTTAGCAACAACAACAACAACAACAACAACAACAACAACAACAACGTGTAGGTTATGGCTATGTGCACCTGGGGTTCAATCCCACTGAGGATACTGGAAGACCATGGAGAGTATGCCTCTGAGTTGTCCCACTCTGTGAAGGGAATGATGGGGTACTTATCCACAGACTCTCTGTCCCCACTGGTTGACAGTTGTCCCTAGGACTTTCTGGGTTGTGTCTCCTAGAGAAAACCCTGATGCTGTAGCGCAGAAAGAACCCACTGTACTGGGCCGGGGTGGCCGGGGGAAGAATGGATCTGTCCCCCCAGCCTCAGTGATGTTAGGGAGCGCCAAGAGGCTGGTTCCAAGCACCAGCCAGAGTATGATATGAATCCTGTTTAGATCAGAGGAAACAGATTAGAGAGGCTAAGAAACTTGTTCAAGGTTTCTTTGAGCCAGTATGGGCAAGAGCTAAGATTTCACTTCAGGCCTTCCTGTGGCAAGTGATCCTGGATGTTTTGGACTAAATCATGCCCCCCACCCCACAACCAATTATGTTCAAGTCCTGACCCCTGCACCTGTTTGGGAAGAGGGCTTTTCTTTTGTTATGTCAATGAGGTTAGAGTAGAATAAGGGGGTGTGGTGCATCCCTTCTCAATGCTGTTTGATGAAAAGCAGAACCCACAGAGGAGGATGGTTCATGTGATAAGCGGACCTTATCAGTCTATAAGCTGTTAGAAGCTCAGAGTCTCTGAAGGAATCAATGTGGCTGATACCCTGATTTGGGTTTCTAGCCTGCAGAACCATAAGAAGATACTTTTCTTCTCCTTAAAGCCACCATTTGTGGCAGCATTAGGAAACGAAAACACTAGACTCTACGTGTTCAAATTTGGTGGCATGAAGGTGCCTTAGACACCAGCCTCTTGACGGCTACTTACATGGAAAGATGATTCATTCAGTTTTCACTCCGGGGACCTCCTGAAGTTATGGCATTCTCTTCCTGCAACCCACCTACTTACAGCCCCCTTGCAGCCAGTTTATCTCTTTCTCGCACAATAAAGTCTCACTCAGTAGGACATCACAGGCACTTCTAAAACCAGTTGCCATTGAGTTGATGCCCACTCATGTGACTCCATATGTGTCAGAGTAGAACTGTGCTCCATAGAGTTTTCAGTGGCTGATTTTTCAAAAGTAGATCACCAGACCTTTCTTTCGAGGCACCTCTGAATAGACTTAAACTAGTTCTTGGCTAGTTAGCGGCCAAGTCTGTTAACCATTTGTACCACCCAGGGACTCCTATACAGAGGGATGGGAACCACAGAACCCATGACTGGGGACTGAGTGGTTGTTTTAATTCACTATCCAGTCCAAGGCAGGAATCTGTCTCAGAGCCTGTGTCTCAAAAGCCTGTGGCAGTAGAATGTCCCTACTCTGTGGGGCAGCCTGCTCCATGGTTGGGCTTTTACATGGCAGTCATTTTTAAGAGGGAGAATCTAACATCCTTAGATGGTCTTAGAGGAATGACTTTTATCTGATAGGTGTGATGTCTACTTTTCCACACTGTTTTATTACTTTTCCCCCAGACTTAATGCTGCCAAGTTCTTTCGGCATTTCTTCATAGAATTTGATTTCCAGACTCAGTTTTTTTGGTTAGATGCTTTTGGACACATTCTTGCCCAATGGTCGTCAGCCACAGCACACTGGCATCTTGTGAACTTTTCACAGGTGTGCTGCCAACTGTCTATCAAAGCAGGTCTAGTTGATTTTAGTCATGCCTGAGTGGACATTCTCTTACAGCCATTTCTGTCACCAGGAGCAATGAGCAGAGGGGGCCGTGGGCTGGGACTTAGGTCAAGGCACAGCTGGCAGTTGCATTGATGAAAACATGCGGGCACTCTGCTTAAGGGCATATGAGAAAGTTGGCTCAGGGCATTCACCAAGTTTAATCACACGCTGAGCCAGTGCTCAAAGAGCTGTATGGGAAGAGGCTAAGCATGGATGGCTTGTAGACATCCAAAGACACTGTAATCATGGCACACTTGCCTTGGTAGACATTCTGGGTATTCTTGATGGTTTCTGCTGCTCTTCTCTTCTGAGGCACATGGCAGGATTATATATTTTTTGCCCCTTGAATTTAGACATGTCCAGGCTGAATGAATCAACAGTCAGTGCATGATCGCCCATGCTTCTTTTTCCATAAACCTTAAGGCTGGAGTGTGAAAAAGGGCTGCCATAAGATGGGTGGGCCTTGGGTCACCAAGTGACTATATTGAGAAGAAATCTCCTGACACTCTGTTTGGATATAGCACGAGTGAGACCTAAACCTTTATTGTTGTTGTACTTGTTAATAACAGTGACAACTATTGTTCTAACATTTGATTTATCCATGTTGTTGTTGTTGTTGTTAAGTGCCATTGAGTCAGTTCTGACCCATAGTGACCCTGTATAGGGTTTCCAAGGAGCAGCTGGTGAGCTTGAACTGCCGACCTTGCAGTTCAAACGGCTTTGCAGTCTGGCGCATTAGCCCACAGTGCCACACCAGGACTCCTTATAGCTCTTAAGATATATTAAATGCACAGAAGCATTAAAAAGGAACTCTGGTAGCGTAGTGGTTACGAATCGGGCTGCAAACCTTAAGGTCAGCAATTCGATACTACTAGCTGTTCTGTGGGAGAAAGATGAGGCTTTCTGCTCCCATAAAGATTTACAGCCTCAGAAACCCTGTACAGGCTCACTATGAGTCGGAACCGACTCCACGGCACATCACCACTACTAAGTATTAAAAAATTCACTGGCAAGAACAATGGAACTGTTATTGTTGTTGTTGTTGTTGTTGTTAAGTGCCGTCGAGTCGGTTCTAACCCATAGCGACCCTGTACAGGGTTTCTGAGGCTATAAATCCTTACACATTCATAAAAACAGATCCAGAATAAAATGGAGGGTGACAGATAAAGCGATGCCAGCTTCATCACCCTTTGGTTTGGTGGTGTAGTCTAGAACAATATCCTCATTCACATGGTTAGAAAAGCCTTAACATTTTTCAGTCACTGACATTTGAGGATTGCTTTGTTATTATACCAGAACCTACCCTTAAACATAGCAACAATTGTGAGGATGGTGCAGAACCAGACAATGTCTCCTTGTTCTGTTGTGCACCTAACAACAACAACAACAACCTAGTATATCCTGATCCATTAGCTCAGAATCTTTTGTCTCTAAATCTTATTTTCAATATTGGAGAGTATGTTTTGACCAGAAAAGTCCAGAACCATTTCTGTTCCTTAAATTTAGTGCCTACAACTTCAGGGAGGGTTGCAGATGTGATCCAATTAGCAAAGATGGCAAGGCTGAGGCAGAGTCCAGGTAAATGCATGCACATGAGCACATACATGCACGTGCACACCTGTGAACACACAAGCGCACAGAGAAATGGAGGGAGAAAGGAGACATGGAAAGAAGGCTTTCTTTGGCCTAGCTAAGACACCTTGCCCAACGCTACTTACCAGAACATTGAAGTCCGTTGCCTTTGTAGCCCTGCTTGCATTTACATTTGAAGGATCCTTGCGTATTGAGGCAATTGGCATGGAGGCTGCATGGGTGGGTATTCACAGCACATTCATTTAGATCTAAAAATATGAATGTTCCAGGGAACAGCTTAGTGGTCAGAACTTGCCGCTCAACACCCGCAACAGACCAAGTTTTGCCTGAGAAGGAGAATGTGCTCAGGACTCCAGGTGCACTGGCTGAGAGCCCTGGCTTTGGACGACGCCTAGGATTTGGCAAGAATGTCTGCAGCTCACCTGCCCGCTAGCAATCGTCATCTTCTGCTTATCAATGCTATTGAAATCTGTAGGCTGTTGAGGTTTGTTCCTTAACTTTTCCACCTGTCTGATTTAAAACTAAAGACCAATATCAGAAAAGAAATCCTATATTTGGAAGTGCTTGGAGCTCCTAACCAAACAAAGGACAGGCTGTGCTAGAAACCACTGACATCATCTGAAAGTATAGGCACAAGCATTTTGTTCCGATGACTGCCAAGAGCAAGGGTCAGGCTGGTCTGATCTTGTCAGCTGGCTTTAGACTTGGAAAGACTGTCAAATTCCACTCAAATGAGAGGTTCTTCAACCCTCTTAGCCACCTCAGAGTTCTAGCGAAGCATTTGTAGACATACCCACACACAATAGCCTACTGTTTTAATTTAGCCGCAAAGGGAGCGTAGATGCTAATCTTAAATCACTTTTTAAATCAGAAAGGTGAATTTCCTTTGGAAGCTCTCCATGTGAATTCCCACCCTATCCCCATAATCCTCTGTTTAGGGATCGGCAAACAAGACTACATTCCCCTAACACAACATCAAGGGAGTGTGGTGGCTTCATATGATGAGCATTGGATTGCAGAATAGAAGGTTGACAGTTCGAGCCCACCAGCTGCTCTGTGGAAGAAAGATGAGACTTTCTGCTCCCACAAACATTTGAAGCCTTGAAAACTCTATACAGGATTGCTATGAGTCAGAACCAACTCAACAGCATTTAACAATAACAACACAGCATCAAGAATCCCTGGTGGCACACTGGTTAAAGGACTTAGATGCTAACCAAAAGGGTGGTGGTTCACACCTACCAGCCACTCTTTGCTTGAAGCTTTACAACCTTAAAACCTTAAGGAGTAATTTTACTCTGTCTTACACGGTCTCTCTGAATTGGCATCAACTCAATGGGTTGGTACAGCATCACCAAATTACTGAGCTTTGTGGGCCTGCAGGAGGAGGGCATGGGAGACCTGTCCCACCTCTAGTTGTGGGGCCCCAAAGAAATATGGATTTTACAAGCCTGTCTTGTGTTTGAGCAGATTTGAGCAAAAAGCTGTGGAGGCCTTGTAAGACTGTTCAAAACCCAGGAACCAAAAGTTGCCCCAGCATGATTACTCAAGACATGTCCTGGGACGTGCTGAGTGTGGGGCTGAAAAAAAATCCTATTCTTCCCCCCCACCCCCTCAACTGATAGCTTTTCATGCCACGAGCACACCTCTATTACCCATATGATTTGACCAGGAATCCAGAGAGAGCCAGAATTTCCCTTCATTGTAGGCCAGGTCCCATCTTATGATACGATGTCAATGGGAGTTCATACAGGGCTCCAAGATGACAGCATTTCACAGGCTTCTTGAGCCCTGCAATCCGTTCCCTAAGGGATAGCCCAAACCCACTGCTCGTGAGTCCATTCTGATCCCAACCGCTCTGGATAGGGTTTTTGCGGCTGCAAATCTTTACTAGAGCAGAAAGTTTCATTCTCCTGCAATGTGGCTGTGGGTCTGAACTACCAACCTTGCAGTTAGCAGCCCAATGCCTAACTCAGAGTGCCAGCAGGGCTCCTTGTCAGTAAGGGACAAAAAAGTTTTATTCAGTTCCCTTAGGCCGATAGCTTGCTGATATTATACTCTTACTGGAGAGTGGTCTCCATGGTTATGGAATGGGAACGTGCCTTCAGGAATTTTTCTCTAGCTGCCTTGATGGACACTTGGGAAGAAACCACAGTGATCTGGTCTACTTATTCTTCCTTTCTCACCTACGAAATGAGTGCTGTTTGACTGTTCCCATTTTTAGATGTGTACCTAGAGACAGAATAAAAAATACAAGCACAACAAAACAAAACAAAACCCAACTGAATTAAAAAAAAAAAATCCCATGAAAACCATCTCAAGGTATTTTGTTTGTCCCATGGATCAGTGGTGGTGGTGGTGGTGGTAGTGTGCTGTGGAGTTGGTTCCAACTCCTGTATAGAGTTTTTGAGGCTGTAAATCTTCATGGGAACATAAAGTCTTATCTTTCTCCTGCATGGTAGATCAGTAGACACTGAAGTTTCTTCCTTTCAATTTTTAGTGACTTGGCTTCATGTAACTAATTCCATTGGAGTTCCTTAAATGTCAGAAACCTTAAATCACTTTTTAATGTGGTATTAAACTGGTCTTATATACTGATTATTCAAAAGATGGACTTGACTTCAGTATATCTGTAGAGAGAACCTACAGGTTTGGGAGGAGACAGGAAGAGAGGTCAGGGTGCCGCTTAAATCTTACCTACACAGTCATATCGTCCATGGATGTATTTCAGTTCAAAACCAACATGGCATTTGCAGTAGTAGCTTCCAAATGTATTTACACATCTTCGATTGTAGGGGCAGATGGCTTTACCAGAGGCACATTCATCAATATCTAGAGTACAGAAGCACAAGGTGTCAATGATAACAAGAAAAGGGCCCACTGTTACGCAAACACATAAACACACACACACACACTGGAAAACGGTGTCTACTCTGGTACCAATGTCACATCCTCCACGAAGTGTTCTAGAACCCTCCAGGCATGCTCATAGCTCTTCTCTTTCATGTATTTGTGCCATGTTGTCCTCACTTTGCTCAGTATCCCAGTGGGGAATTGCTTCTAGGACAGCATTTTATATAAGGGATCATTATATAAAATGCTGTAGTATTTGTGTACATGCAACCTATACATAGCCTCCCATATGCTTGAAAAAAATCCTAGATTACTTATAAATACCGAATACAATATAAATAGTGCTGCAGGATAAGCACTGGACTGCTAGCTGCAAAGTTGGTGATTAAAACCTATCAGCTGCTCTTTAGAACCCCTATTCAGGGTCGCTATGAGTCAGAATCAACTTGATGGCACACAACAACAACACCACCATGTAAAAAGCACTTCATTTTACATTGTATTAAGTATGAGACTTTGTCAGTATCTGGAATATGGCACTGTAGGATAACCACCAGGTCGGTGGTTCAAATCCACCAGCCGCTCCTCAGAAACCCCATGTAGGGTCCCTATGAGTTGGAACTGACTGGAGGGTACTTAACATCAACAACAGATACCATGTAAATAGCACTTTAGACTCACTCTGACCCTTTGAGGGATTGCTGTTTTTTCCCTATTCAAATATTTTCTACCTGTGGTTGGCTGGATCCATAGATGCAGAACCCTGAGATATGAAGGGCTGATTGTGTTGACATCTTCTTTCGTTACCTCCTGGTTCTTCTGGAGCATGAATTGTGGGTCTGTCACTTGGGATGTATATGCTAAATGTTTGTTCAATGCATAAATATTTCCCAACTATTCTGGTAGCATAGTGGTTACGAATCGGGCTGCTAACTTCAAGGTCGGCAGTTCAAAACTACCAGCTGTTCTGCCGGAGAAAGATGAGGCTTTCTGCTCCCGTAAAGATTTACAGCCTCGGAAACCCTGTGCAGGGTCACTATGAGTTGGAACCCACTCCACAGTACTTACAACAACAACAACAACATATATGTTGTTGTTGTTGTTAAGTGCTGTAGAGTCAATTCTGACCCATAGCGACACTGTATAGGGTTTCCAAGGAGCAGCTGGTGAGTTTGAACCACTGACCTTGCAGTTCAAATGACTTTGCAGTCTGATGCATTAGCCCGCAGCGCCACACCAGGCCTCCATGTTGTTGCAGAACACATAAAATTTTTGCAGATAGAATCTGACAACTATACTTTAAATAAGTCAAATACACAAACACATTTTGCAACTTAGAAGATAATTATTTTATTGGCAAGCTCCTTCAGGGCTCCTGAAACATTGATTCAACTCAGAAATGTGGTTGGTCTTCCATTTGTTAATATTAATTTATAGTAATATTAGTAATGTAATAATATATTATTGTTGTTAAGTGCCATTGAGTCAGTTCTGACTCATAGAGACTCTATAGAGGGTGTCTGAGGAGCACCTAGTGAGTTTGAACCACCGACCTTTAGGTTAGTAGTCCTGGACTTTTACAGTGCCACACCAGAACTGTAGTATGTTGGTATAATCAATATTAATTAATATTAACTAAAACATCTTCAGGAATGTGCCTATATACAAATTGTGGGTCAAGTATAATGATGTATGCATGTAACTTTGGCAAACAAAAAGTACCATTCTTTTCTAGGATTGATAGTCACGTTACAGGGGTGTTGACAGCTGTGTTGACCAGCTTTAACTTTTAGATGTCAAATCAAATAAATGATATGCAGCTATTTTGGACTTACAGTTAAACACACAAGTTGGGACTGGTAAATTTTTTCCCTTTGCATTCTTAATGTAATAAATAAGTGTTGAATTGAGCAAAATAATTTTGACAATTCCTTGTGTGCACATCCCGTTTTCCTGACAAGAAAAATGGCCAAATATGGATTCCATTTATTTAAGAATTAGTCTTGTCATAGAAATGCTATTATTATTTTGTTGTTGTTGTTGTTAGGTACCACTGAGTCGGTCCCTACTCATAGTGACCCTCTGCACAACAGAAAGAAACACTGCCCAGTCCTGCACCATCCCCACAATTATTAGGTTTGAGCCCACTGCTGCTGCCACTGTGTCAATCCATCCCATTGGCAGGTCTTTCTTTTTTTCGTTGATCCACTTTACTAAGCATGATGTCCTTCTCCAGGGACTGGTCCCTCCTAACAACATGTCCAAAGTAGGAGAGATGAAGCCTCACCATCCTAGCTTCTAAGGAGCATTCTGGCTGTGTTTCTTAGAAGACAGATTTGTTTGTTCTTCTGGAAGTCCACAGTGCTTTCAACATTCTTTGCCAACATCATAATTCAGGTACATTGAGGACAAATAAACCCTTCGGTTTCTTGAATGAGTCCTGGTGTGGTGCTGTGGGTTAATGCGCTGGACTGCCAAGTCAGTTTGAACTGCAAGGTTAGTGGTTCAAGCTCACCAGCCACTCCTTGGAAACCCTATACAGGGTCACTATCGGTCGGAACCGACTCAACACCACTGAACAACAACAATCTTGAATGAACCATATTTCTATTGATGAAGAAAAAAGAATACTAAGTTATACTGATATTGACTTAATTAAATCTGAAGAGATTAAGAAGTCTTTCAACCTTCTGCTTTGTTTGGCATCCCTTATTAATATTCTTTGTCTTTTATCTATGTCTTTTGGACTAATAGCAACGTCAAGATAAAGAAAGAAAAGACTGATATTGTCAAAGCTTCAATGGATCCACAATCAACACCCATAGATGCAGCAGCCAAGAAATCAAATGCAGTATTACATTGGGTAAATCTGTTGCAAAAGGCTCCTTAAAAGGGTTGAAAAGCAAAAATATTAAGTGCAGTTGAATCAGTTCGGTATCAGAGACTCTATATAGTCTAGTAGATAATACCCAGTGCCCTCTCCCCTCCCCCTCTTCCAGAGGTGCCCATGGTCCAGTTAACTTGCTCATTGAGCTCACCCTGCACAGGTTGCTTCCCTTCCCTGTGACACTTCCCTACTTCTCAACCAGTTTTCCTGGGATCACCTTCTGACTCATGGCGATCCTACATAGGTGTCTGAGGTTATAAAACTTTATAGAAGCAGACAGACTCATCTTAAACTTGAACCACCAACCTCTTGGTTAGCAGCCCAAAACCTAACCCACAGTACTATCAGGGCTACTTCACTAAGGCTAAGTACCACTGAATGGGTTCTGACCTGTAGCAATCCTTATAAGATTTCTGTGGAACGGCTGGAAGGTTTGAACCACCAACTTTTTTTTTTTTTTTTTTAAATGTTTTATTGTGAATTATGTGATAGTTTACATGGGAGAACATTAGTTTTACATTCATCCTATCGTATATAATTTCATTGCCATGGTTAAAATCCCCTCCATGAATCATCAATCAACCAAAGGGTATACACTACAAGCCTGACCCCCTCATCATCAGCACACAGCCCCTCTCCCTCTCTGTGTCTAAAGTCCCCAGCTGCTCCATCTCTCCACGTCATCATCTCTGCCTCCATCTCTGGCATCACTCCTTCTCTGGGTAGGGTCCCGCTCTCTGCTCTTCTCCCTTGATCGTCCCAGGGACCTTCGCTCCTAGACTGAAAAGTTAATCACTCCCCTCTTTGCTACAAAATGTCTACCTTTACATTTCCAACCCTCACAATCAGTCCTGATAACAATTATTCACTATCTATCACAAGAGACCTATCCGCATTTCATTTCATCAGCCCCGCCTAGACAGATTGGACACTACTCAGTGGAGATTCTACCTTCCTCCACACCCTCTGGATCTAGGTTCCCTCTTGAAAACTTGTAAGCCAGTCACTTCTTGCCTTTGTAGTCCCCCTCCCCCCCATTTTGGGTAGCCAATGTTCAAGTTGCCCATTCCTGTCTACTCTGTGTAGGGAGGGGGTGAAGCACTGACTTTTTAGCTGGCTTTTCAATGCTCATTCTAGAGTGCCACACCAGGGCTCCCCAGACATTAGGCCATCAAAAATAAGACAGTGTTCTTTTTAGCACCCCAAAGTGTGTCTAGAAATTATATGTTTAAAAAACGTCATCGTCTCCAAAAGGGACATAAATCAGCACTTTTGGGAACAGGATGTGAAAAATGAAGAAAGAGTTGAAGAAAGAGGGCCAAGGTAGGAGCGGCAGACGCTGTATTACCTGTGCAGACCCTCCCGTCGGGGGCCAGACGCAGTCCTGAGGATGGACACAGGCACCGTGGCCCACCCTCTGTCTCTTCACAGCCATACTGGCAGCTTGTCAGGGCACATGTCTGAGAGTCTGAAAACAACAGGCCAGCATTATTAGCCTCTTCCTCCTGAATGCTAGAAAGTGCTTCCCTGGGAACTGTTTCAAAATGTTGGGACATTCAGTGTGACAGGTGGGGTTGCATTGCAGGAGATTTGCCATTGTCTGAGTCCCGAGAAGAGGCCATACTCTGAATCTTGCCTGTGGTTCATTTTGTTGTCCAGTGTGTTGAACTAGACTGTCTTCGTAGGGCAGGCTTCCCTTGGTTACTGACGCCTGCCTCACTCTCTCCTCATGCACTAGCCCAATCCCTCCTTTATGTCGCCTATCTAAATTGAAATGCCACTTCTGAGGCAGATGATCAACCTGAGCAATCAGAGTAAAGGAAACTATTCTAGTGAGCTCTCTGATGCCTCACCCAAGTCACAAGACTTGGTCTTTAAGTGGCTTTTTGAAACATGTGGTAGATATGACCGATAGCCATTCTGGATCCCCTTTTCTTTTGCCACTTCCCATCACTGAGGCCTTTAGACTAAAGAGTAGTCATGTGACCCAGTTGTGGGTAGTGGGGGGGAAGGGGAGCAGGGCTTCTGGAAAAGATATTTATTTTGCTTCTTGATAAAAGGGACAAGCATAGAAGAGGTGTTTGCTGCCATCACCTCTTTCCCCTTAGTTTTGTCTACCTTGAATATAGGTGTGCTATGTGGAACAGGGGCAGCCATGTTGTGACCATGACACCATGTTGTTGTGGTTGCTAAGTGCCTTTGAGTCGGTTCCGACTCATTGTGACCACCGGCCTTGTGGTTCAAACAGACCGTGTGGTCTAGTGCTTCATCCCACAGCGCCATAGCAGGTCTCCTGAGCATGAAAATGAAATCAATACCCTGCAGATGGCTGAGGTTGAGTACTTGATGAGTTTCTCTGGAACTATCTGCCTCTATTTTTAAAAAAAGACACTTGGATTTTTTGGTTACTTGTTGAGCATATTTTAATAGCTCACCAAGATGCATTTCCTTTGCAAGGGTCCAGCATGTGTGGCTTGTAAGTGCAAGGGCACTAAAAAGTCATATGATTCCAGCCTATAACAGGGGAGCATGATATGATGATGTATTTCCTCCATCCACCCCCCCACCCCCCCCAGAACATGCCAGGCACCCAGGTGACAAAGAGATGAAAGGGAGAGACCAGAGGCCCCAGGCTAGCAGGAGACTCTGAGCTGAGCTCCAGAGACACAGGTCAACTCTACACATAGGGAACTAGACAAAGAGAGTCCAGGGGTAGAAACCTAAGTCAAGGTACTGTAACAGACACCTACTGATGGTTGTATTTCTAGTTCGTTCCTCCTTCTCTTCTCTTTCTCTCGGGCTCTTCTTTCCTTCCCCCCCTTTTTTTTATTTGTGGGAAAGTTCCCAACGGTTTGTCTTAATGAGAAAATAAGTATGTATAGTTCTCCTTTCTAGCACATGAAGCAATTGCCTTTTCTTTTTCTTTCCTTTTCTTTTTAACTGCCTTCCCCATCACCCAAGTTAGCACGTGTCTACACTCTGTTGTTGTTAAGTGTTGGCAAGCCATTTCTGACTCATAGCAACCCTGTATAAGGTTTTCTGAGGAGTTGCTGGTGAGCTTGAACCACCGACCTTGCGGTTCAAATTGACTTTGCAGTCCAGTGCATTACCCCACAGCTCCCTTCCCTGGTAACCATCACAGAATATTTATTATAGACTGAAAACTTTTTCTTGACTTTTTTACAGTAACGATCACATACAATATCTGTCTGTTGGTGACCAACGAATTTCACTCAGTCTAATAATGTCCTCCAGGTTCCTCCGTGTTATGTGTTGTCATGTTGAGCCATTGTTATTCTTTTTTAGTTTTTGTCTTTTAAAATCAATTTTTAAAATGAACCTAATTTTATCTCTCCATTTGGGGGACGGTATCTTTTCTGGCACTGTTGAGGCTTTCATGGAATGTTTCAGAAATATCTGTTAGCATGTATTTTTTAAAAAAATTTTTAAGTGCTTCCTACAAAAGCGTAGATAATACTACCCTATCTAGGAAGGGGGTAGGTTCTGGCTAAGAATTCATTAAGTGTTGTGTTTGCTTCATGTGGGTTTCTGCTTCATGTCCTAAGGATTTTTTTAAAAAGACCTTGTGAATATCTGCTTTAGCTCTTCAGCTGGCTTGCTAAAGGTGGATCTGGATGACCTTGACTGGTGGGGTGGAGGCTCTTGGCCAAGGAGGGACACGAAAAGGAGGAGCCAGGGAACAAGGAGCCAAGATTTTAGTGTCACTGGGCTGGAGGGCTGTGCCATGACTCCATGTGCAGAGTCAGCTGGCTCAATGGCAAAGGCTCGGCTCTCTGGGTCCATTAGGGAGTGCTGAGCAGAGACAAGTCTCTGGGTTGTATAAAAGGTTTCCATGCTCACACTCAGCTGCTGACCCAAAGAGTGGTGATTCACGTCCAGCAGCAGAGGTGTCTCAGAAGAAAGGTTTGGCCACCTAATTCTGAAAACTCAGCCAAAATTTACAGAGCATGGTTTTACTCTGAGACACATGGGGTCACCAGGAGTTGGGGTTGACTGATGGCAACTGTTGATGCCTTTGTTTATTTTAATGGGCAAAGAAAAGAGATGGAAGGGGGAGGTGAAAAGGGGAGTGTGGAATTGCCTGTCAGTTGCAACATAAAACCGGAAAAGCTTTCCCTCTTCGTAAATGAATGGCTCAAACCGCTCCCTCCCACAGGACATGGGTTTTCTTATCACAGAGGGTTTTTCTTTTCAGGAATGTGAGTTGGAATATATCTTCAACAGGAGTCACTATAATCTTTGGGAGTGGGGCAAGGGGCATGGGAAATGTAGTTGGTAGGAAGAATTGATGCCCCTGAATGGAAGTTATCACCTCCTGAAAACAATATGTTTAGTTTGTTTAACATGCTGATTTTCATGAAGAAATCCAACACATCCTTGCCTTTATCTATCCAAGAGGGCTTCAGGAAGTGTGTGGAAAATTCCCATTCTCTTTTCATTCCATTTGTCCATGAACTTTTTGAAGCCCCCTTATATATATACCCCCTCCTTCCCATTTAGTCTTTCTATTTAAAAAGTGCCTTGAAGAGCAAATACAAAGAGATAGAAAGCAGGTTACTGGTTTCTAGGGGTTGGAGAGTGACCACTTACAGGGCAGGGGATTAGATAGAGTGATAGTTGTACAACATTACCAGTAGACTCAGATGTCACTGAATTGTACACATTAAAATGGCATGTTCAAGGAGAACAAACAAGATGGTGGATCGGGTGGAAGTGCAGTAAGGAGCTCTGCCAACAACAACACAGAATACCTGACCAAGCAGGTTCAGGGAATTGTCCCAGAACTCTGAACCACATATAAAGGAATATTTAGAAGGTTGGAAGGCTTACAGCTGGGGGAATTTGTGGCAGAAGCAAGAAATCCATTGCTTTCTAGTTTGGGATGCTCAGCTGCTCCAGGACCCGCCATTTTGGGTGAGACCAAGTAGGGGAAGGATCAGAGCGGCCACAGATGCCTGGCAGAACCACAGAGATAAAGGTGTGGCCATTCTTTTCTTTTGGTATCTGTTCATTGGTCCCTTGCTGTCTGCGCACCTCCATTCTGGTGACTAAAGGGGTGCCTGAGCTAGTGGATGCCCCAGCCCCACCCTTGGAGGGTTCTACTACACATGCACACAGATCTCCTTGAAATTTAAAGAGACAGTTTCCAATTAAAACCAAATGGCCACAGCCAGCCCTAAACTGTTTACAACTAGAAAAAAGGCCTGAATGGGGATTGTGGAGCAGGACAGGCAAACAAAAAAGGAAATAGGCCAAAAATGAAATCCTAAGTTACATCAAAACGACCAACAATGGCATCTTGAAATTTCTCAAGAAGAGTGAAAAGGGAAGCCCATTTCCTGATCACATCTACCTGGAGGCAATCAGAAAGCATAAAAAATATCAAAATACATACCCATCTAAGTAATAAGGCCACAGATAACCCCTGAATATGCCCAAAAAACAGAAGCAGATGACCATATCTGCACATGTCCAGAAACGAGATAAAGTGACTGAGGCAAGTGAGCTGGAAGGAAAACTACACTCCATACTGGAAGATGGGCAGGCTTTGGAAATGACGGAGAAGGAATTCAGAAAAATGATTATAAAATGTATCAAAACACTATACAATGCAGTTGAGAAAAATAAGGAAGAAGTCAGGAAAGCGCTACAGGAACAATCAAATAAGATAGATACAGCATTGGAAACAATTCAAAACCTACAGAAAGAGGTCCAAACGATTAATAATAGAATATCAGAAATGGACAATGCACTGAAAGGGCAAAGGAGTAGAATTGAAGAGATAGAAGCCAGAACTAGTGAGCTAGAAGATAAATCTCTCAACACTACTAACATAGAAGAGAAAACACAAAAAATGATTAAAAAAAAAAAAATCGGAAGAAAATGGCATGTTCACATTATGTGTATTTTAAAAATAGAAAATGCCCCCAAATATTTTTGCCTGAGATGCTATCAGAGATTTTTTTGTGATTGTTCTTCTTTAAAGCACCAAAGTCAACTTTCCCCCAAATATCAAATGGCTAAAACCAAACTGCCAATGAGGCTGGAGACCAGCCTGAAAGTTGTTACTTACTCACACACGTGGCATCTGGCATCAGCATGAAGCCGCTGAGACAAAAGCACTTGTAGCTACCGAGGGTGTTCACACATCTGTGTGGGCACGGCCGAGGGTTGAAGCCACACTCATTCTCATCTGCAGGGACCAGTGAGAAAACAGAGAAAGGGGAATTGAATTGGGAACATGTGGATATGGAATATGGAACCTCGCTATTGCAAAGGACACTGGGTTGGTTTCCCAGGACCCCACTGGTGAGGCCCTGTTCTCTGGCCATTTTGAAGAGTTTGTGAGGATGTCAAAACCTTAGTGCCTGTGAACATGACTCTGTTTGGGAACAGGGTCTTTGAAGATGTTATCAGCTCACATGAGTTCCTACTCCAATCTGAGTGGTCTTATAAAAGAGGAGAGTGGACACTGAGACACATACAGGGGGAAACAGCCATCTACAAGTCAAAGGATGCCAGGAACTCCTGGGGCTACCCCCAAACCAAACAACAACCCCTAAAAACCAAACCTACTGCCACAGAGTCAATTCCGGCTCATAACAACCCTGTTTAGGGTTTCCAAGGCTGTAAATCTTTATAGGAGCAGACAGCCTCAGTTTTCTCCTAGGGAGCATCTGGTATTGTTTGTACAGCTGACCTTGTAGTTATCTGTCCAGTGTGTATCCTAGGAGGACCCTGGGGGCTAACAAAAGCTGGAGAAGACAAGGAAAGATCCTCCCCTAGGGCCTTCAGAGGGAGCATGACTCCCTGGGCCTGAAGGATTCAGCCTTCCAAATTGTGAGAGAATAATTTCTGTTGTTGAAAAGCACCCACTTTGTGATATTTTGTGGTATTTTACAGCCTTAAGAAACTAAAACCGATGGAGCAAATGGAATTTAAATGGCTGGACAGAATCTATTGAACTCAGCAATTCTACTCCTGGGAACTTTCCTCACTTGCTATCTTGTTGTATGACGTTTCACATTTGGAGGGAAAATGATCTATTTTGCTCATCAATGACATACATCTGGTGTTAATGAACGCCGAGTACAAGGTAAGAATGCCACTGGCTGCGATGGCTAAGGTTACGTGTGAACTTGGCTGGGCCATGACTACATGACTTGGCAATTATGTAATGATGTAATTTGGCAGTTATTCAGTTATTTTCCATTTGTGCGCAATGACCTGGTCTTTGAAACCTACCCAAGTCGATAAGTGAGGAGTGGTTGTATGTTGCTGTTAAGTGTCATTGAGTGGGTTCCAACTCATTGTGACCCTGTATAGGATTTTCCAGAAGTGGCTGGCGGGTGAACTGTCAACCTTTTGATTGCCAGTCCAGTGTTTATCCTACAGAGCCACACCAGCAATGCAGATATATGCTCATGAAAAGACACAATTGAAGTGATTAGAGTAGCAATATGCATAAGAGCTCCAAACTGGAAACAATGCAAATGTTTCCTAACAGAAGGATGGGCAAATGACTTGTCTGTCATGCAATGAATGTTATATAGCGATGATGAGGAATAAACTACAGCCACATGCAACAACGGTTGAATCTTGCAAATACAATATTGAATGGAAGAAGCTAGACCCAACTGAATACATACTGTAGGATTTTGTTTATATAAAGTTCAAAAATAGTCCTGGTGTGGCACTGTGGGTTAATGCACTGGACTGCAAAGTTAGTTTGAACAGCAAGGTTGGCGGTTCAAGCTCACTAGCCACTCCCCAGAAACCCTATACAGGGTCGCTATGGGTCAGAACCAACTTGATGGCACTTAACAACAACAACAATCTGTGGTATAATAGTTCAAGATATGGTTCCCATGCACGGGTGGGATTAGGGGGGTGGGAAAAGGCGAGTAGTCTTCAAGGGAGCAAACTTTCTGTTTTGTGATCTAGGCACTGGTTACACGGGTGTTTACTTTGGGCAAATTCATTGAGCTATACTTTTTCTGATACTAGGGGGCTTCAAAGTTCATGGGGAAATCCCCCATATTTTAATTCCATTTTTCATGAATTTTTTGAAGCCCCCTTGTATATGTATATGTCTGTGTGTATAACACTTCCGTTCAAGTTAGGGGCCATGTTGTTGTTAAGTGCTATTGAGTCAGTTGCAACTCATAGTGACCCTGTACAGAGTTTCCAAGGAGTGGCTGGTGGGTTTGAACTGCTGACTTTTTAGTTAGCAGTTCAGCGCTTATCCTATAGCTCCACACTCACATACAGATTCCCTTTTGTCTTCTTTTAACAATTTCCCCAGTGGCCTCTGATAGCTGCCCACAGCATAGCCTGCCTTCAAATGTGATTCTCTTGGGTGGGTCCTGCCCTGGCTGAATTGCCCTGGCTTATACCCTGTGAGTCTTGGTGTGGTGCTGTAGGATAAGCACTGCACCACAAGATTGGTTTGAACCACAAGGTCAGTGGTTCACACTTACCAGCTGTTCCTCAGAAATCCAGGGTCACTGTTAGTTGGAATCAACTCAACGACACTTAACAACAACAACAACATACCTTTCAAGAAGGAGCCCTGGTGGTGCAATAGTTGAGTGACGAGCTGTTAAACCACAACATTGGTGGTTCAAACCCATCAGTGGCTCCAGGTGACAAAAGAACTGACAGTCTAGTCCTGTGAAGATGACAGCCTTGGAAATCCTGTGTGTCACTTGTACTCTGTCCTCTGAGGTTGCTAGGAGATGGAATGGACTTGACAGCATTTAACAACAGCACACCCTTAGAGAGAGAACCCTACCTCTTCCAGGAGGCCTATAACAGAGAGACTGCTGGGCTTTATTTATTCAATAATGTTGACTTCTACCTGAACTCCGTGATACTGGTTAAACAAATTGTGTTCAGGAAAATGACTGCTCACGACCACCCTTCTCATGTGCTGTAGGGTAAGCACTGGATTGCAAGGTTGGTGGTTCAAATCTACCAGTCACTACTTGGAAACCCTATACAGGGTCGCTGTGAGTTGGAACTGACTCTACAGCACTAAACAACAACAACCCTTCTCATATGATTTACAGGAGACTCACAATGCCCCCTACCTAGGACATGGCCAGACACAGAACTTCCACATCCCCGATCCTAGACTCATAAATCAATCACTGAGTTACCTGTTCCCATTGATCAATCAGAAACAAAGTGCATGCTCACCAGCTTTGGGAAAGCTTCTCTCCTCCCCTCAAGTCCCTGAACGTTGCCCCCCCTCCCCCCCGAAGCCTGAGTCAACAGACAAGCCCTCCTGAAATCAGTCTCTGATTTGCCATCTGGTGACGTCATCCTCTCGTCCCACTTCCCCACACCTCGACTTTTTCTAGCCTTGCTTCCTCTCAGTCTCTTTGAAAGACGAACATTTCCCCCCGCAGTTCTTGAGATGCTTCCTGATCTTATAAGTCCATGTGTTCTCCCTATTTCCATATATCTTGGCCCCCTATTGGAATCAACCCTATCCCCCATTTATTTCTCAATAAAACTTGCTCTCAGGCTACTATTATTAAGGGAAAAAACAAGGTTTCTAAACTAGTTACACAGTTTGATCCTGAAATTATATATATAAAAAACTATATAGATATATGATGAAAAAGACTGGCAGGATATATTCTAAATGCTAAGATTCTTTCTAGGTGGTCAAATTGAGGAACTGAGGGTGGCTTTCTTTTCAGTGTTTCCTTTTTTTTTTTTTTTTAAACTTAACATTAAGAATGAATGTTGTTGTTGTTGTCGGGTACCGTGGAGTCAGTTCCGACTCATAGTGACCCTGCACAGGGTTTCCTAGGTTGTAAATCTTTACAGGAGCAGACTGTTTCATCTTTCTCCCACGGAACCGCTGGTAGTTTCGAACTGCTGATCTTGAGGTTGGCAGCTTGACTCGTAACCACTATGCGACCATAACTTTACTAGTCAAATGAAAAAATCATAAAGATGAAAGAAAACCTGTAAAAGGAACATGGTAGATATTAACTACCCCATGGAAAATATATTTCATAAAAGAAAGTTGACCCCCCCCTCAACTTATAGCGACCCACCCCACTTGTGTCAGAGTAGAACTGTGGCTGATTTTTCAGAAGGAGATGGACAGGGCTTTCTTTTGAGGTGCCTCTGGCTTTCAGTTAGCAACTAAGTGTATTGGCTGTTTGCACCACCCAGGGAATCCAAGGAAGATAGGTGCTTGTTGTAGTTATGTGCCATTGAGTTGGTTCTGACTCACAGCAACCCTGCATAGGGTTTCTGAGGAGAGGCTGGTGGGTTTGAACCACTGACCCTGTGGTTAGCAGTCCAATGCTGATCCCATAGTGCTACACCAGGACTCCAAGGAAGATATATAGAGAAGAAAAGCACCAAATTCCACGCAAGACAAGAATTCATCCTGCCAGTAGGAAAATAGATCTTTGAAAAAGAAAGAGGAGGCTGCTTTTGCCTCTGAAAGCCTCCTTTGATGGGAATTTTCCAGTACTGTAGCTGGACACAGATAACTTCCCTTCTCCCTCCCATCTCCCTCAAGGATCCTAACTGTTTCAAAAGCGGGGTTGAGAAATGCTGATTGCACATAATGAGAAATCCAGGAATACCCCATCTATTGGCCCAAACTCAGAGGTGACTCATTGGTCTCTTGGAAGGAGCATATTTAGGAAAGACAGGAGTTGAGGGTTACGGCCTGCGGCCATTAATGACTAACATAAACTTAGGTGAGGCTGCCAAGGGGGCAGGGAGGCTAGGCAGAAAGTCCGAAAGCCCCCTGCAACTTGAGCCAATGAGGCCACTCCTGCAATGTTAATATCTAATTACTGGAACTTGAAAAATAGCATGAAAAATACCGCCCTTCCAACTCTCTTGAGAAGGTATCCTGATACAGAATTCAAACCATATGGAAAAGCAAGTGCTCTGCTGTGAAGCCCCGGTAAGGGATATGACTGAATTATTATTGCTCACGAGAGCGTGATTCTTGGCACACCTCTTGAGCAGTTGGACTTGGTTCTCAGAAGCACCCCAGGGACTCTGACCTCAGGATCTGGGACGAGGGCGGGGGATGGAATTGTAGAGTTGAAGCCTGCTCATTCTCTGAAACTCTGCTTTTCTTTCTCCTATAGCTCAAGCAGTTTTCCTTAAGGGTAGTTGTATTTGACTTGCTGCTCTTTGCTCAACTTCATTATGGGGCTGGGGATGCTTTTAAAATTATTGCAGACTTCCTTATACCGGGTTTCTAGAGACCAAAGTTTCTCAACCTTAGAATTACTGCCATTTGGAGCCAGATCATTCTTTGTTGGAGGGGGCTGTACTGCGCTTTGTGGGATGTTTAGAAGCATCTCTGGTCTCTGCCCACTAGATACCAGTAGCACACCAAGAGGCCTAGCAGGCCCTTGAAAAATAAAGAAGTGGCTGCTTCAACCAAATAATGACAACCAAAAATGTCTCATGGTATTGTCAAGTGTCTGCCTGTGGGGCAAAATCACCCCATTTGAGAACCGCTGATCCACAGCAAGGACCAGACCCCTTGCTCTGATGAAGTTTTTTTATTCACCATAATATTCAGATCAGAATTTCTCAACCTCCAAACTATTGATATTTGGATTTAGCACTGGATGCCAGTAACCCCCCTCCAAACCTCTCTAGATATTTCTATATGCCCTCTGTGTAAGGGTGCCAGATTTAGCCAATATAAGTTCTGGATGCCTAGTGAAATCTGAATTTCAGATAAATAGCTGGTCCTTTTATAGTCCTGGTTGGTGCTATTGTTGTGGTTGTTGTTAAGTGCCGTCAAGTTGATTCCGACCCATAGCGACCCTGTATAGGATTTCCAAGGAGCAGCTGGTGAGCTTGAACCACAAACTTTGCAGCTCAAACGGCTTTGCAGTCTGGGTCATTAACCCACAGCACCACACCAGGACTCCGATTGGCACTGTAGAGTAACCAAAAAGTCACCTTGGAAACCATGTACAGGATCACTGTAAGTTCGAACTGACTTGACAGCACTTAACAACAACATTGAGATATTTAGGATGTTGCTGATGTTAAGTGTCGTCAAGTTAGTTCCAACTCATAACGACCCTACATAGGGTTTCCAAGGAGTGGCTGGTGGGTTTGAGCTGCCAGCCTTGTGGTTAGCAGTCCAGTGCTTATCTTAGAGTTTCAGGACATATGTATACTAAAATGTTATTTTGCTGTTTATCTACAATTCAAACTTAACTGGGCATCTGTATTTCATCTGACCATCTTTCTGGTGGGAGGGGACAAAATCAGCTGAGGTGAAATTCACTATTCTTGATGTTATCATTAAACTCTTGAATGCCTTCAAATGAACCGCCTATAACAAAAGTCATAAAGCACCTTTGAAAATATTTCAATTACAGTAAAAAACCCTTGCATTTTGAGATATTTAGATATTTATCCTGAAAACAGTACTGAGATAGTTAGATGATCATGGTTCAAGAGAGTATGTTTTTACATGAAAGATTCAAGCCTGTAAAAGTTCAAAGTAACCCCATACAAGGGGGCTTCAAAAAGTTCATATAAAAGTAGAATTAAAAGGTAATGGCATTTGCCATGAGTGCTTGGAAACTCTCTTGTATATGCCAACATATAACATGCACATCGTACTTTCATAGTAAAGGGCACTGAGGCTGTAGAACATATTGTTACCTTCAGTTATAATGGGGAGTTGGAGTGTAGACCCCCACTTTTAAATGTATATCCATTTACATTGTGGGATAGCTTTAAAATAAAAAACATGCATTTCTTCAGTAGTTTGAAAAAGACAAAAAAGTATTCATTTAAATAAAAGTCTTTTTGGGGGCATCTTGCAAAACATCAGAATGGCTTACATATTTTTTCAAGGCAAGAAGATTGACTAGGAAATCCAATGCTCAAGCCACCATCATGTGAAGGTTTTGAGTTAAAAAAAAAACGAAGTAATTTGAACCCTCTATTGTGTCACAAAGTCCTTGGGTAGTTGTAAACAGTGAATGCACTGGATTGCTTCCCAAAAGGTTGGAGGTTTGAGTTCAATAATGAACTTGGAAGAAAGAACTGGCAATGTGCTTTAAAAAAATCAGTCATTGAAAAATATATGGAGCATAATTCCACTATGATACCCATGGAAGAGCCATGAGTCAGAGGAGATGACATACAAGAGACCCAGGTTTGAATCCCAGTGAATGCAGCTCAAGTTCAGCCACCATTTGTCTGCAAATGGAAGCTTGTATGTCGCTATGATGCTCAGCAGGTTTCAGTGGAGCTTTCAAACTCATGTGGACTAGGGAAAAAGGCCTGGTCATCTACTTCTGAAAATCAGTCAATGCCAACCCTATGGATCTCGTACCCATTTGACCTAGCTTCAATGGCTTGATGATCAGAACTTGACTAAAGGAAGATAAAAAAATATTTTTTGATAAAGGAAACAAGTATAACTTGCTACAATTTGATGAACTTGACCTATAATTATGAATGTAGTAGCTCAAAATACCAACTGAGAGAGAGGAATCTTCACATCAAGGATCAATCCTATCCCCTCTGTATACAGGGTTGATAGAGATGGGCAATTCAGACATTGGCTACCTGAAACAGAAGGGGGGTGCAGCTATAAAGGCATGAAGTGACTGGCTTACAAGTTTTCAAGAGGGAGTTTAGTTTCAGAGTGTGTGGGGGAAGGTAGAATCCCCACTGAATCGTTTTCATCTTGTCTAGACAGATCTGGTGAAAGGAGATGGGGATAAGATTCTTATGATTCAATAGTGAATAACTGTTACCATGACTAATTGCGTCTGTCACAACTGTAAAGGTAGAAATTTTGTATTATAAAGGGGGTAGTAGTTAATCTTACAGTCCAGGAACAGAGGACTCTAGGACCATCAAGGGAGAAGAGCACGAGCGGAATGTGGAACCCTATCCAAAGAAGCAGTGACACCAAAAATGGAGGCAGAGATGAGGACATGGAGAGAGAGAACAACTGAGGACTCTAGACTCATGGAAAGAGAAAGGCTGTGTGCTGGTGAGTGGGAGGCAGGCCTGCAGAATATGCCCTTTGGTTGTTTAAATGATTCCTGGGTGTTTTTGTAGACATCCCCGTACCCCCTGCAAAAAAACAGAGGGACTAGAAGCAAATACTGTTGGATGATGATGCATGGAAGAGACTGTAATTATCACAATGAATCCCATTGGGATACCCATAGTGACAGACTAACTTGAAGAAGCTATAATGATAATGGGAATGAGGTGGCTGCGTATGATAAACATTGGACTGTGAACCACAAGTTCCACGATTTGAGCCTGCCAACCACTCCATGGGAGAAAGATGAAGTTTTCTGCTTCGGTGAAGATTAAAAAAGCTTTGGAAACCCTATACAGTGTCACTATGAGTTGGAACCTACTAGACAGCACTTAACAATAATAACAACAATGAAGGCCTGTGGTGGTGCTGGAGGATAAGCACTGGACTGCTTATGGTTCAAATTCACCATTTGCTCCTTGGAAATCCTACACAGGGTCACTATGAGTCAGAATTGACTTGACAGCACTTAACAACAACAGTGACAACAATGCACTGTTTCACCGACTTCTGAAAGCTCTTGTGTAGATTTGTAATGTGACCCTAGTCTGTTGTACTTACCTTGACTGCAGGTTTTCCCGGTATATCCTGGAAAGCATCTACATTTGTTTGGTCCCACACACTCCCCGAACTTGCAACCATGGATACACGTAGCTGTAGAAGGAGAAGATACATCAATGATATAAGAGCAAAGTATTTAGCACAGTGACACACACTAATGTCCACTGTAATTGCCGGTTTTACAAATCCATGGGACATTAGGGGGCAATCTGTTTTCTTTCTGCTCTGTTTTCACCTTGACAATCTGGCAGGTGTCTTGTATGTGAACTAGATCATTCTTCACACCCCTCCACCCCAATTTATGTGTGCAACTTTGATTAGCAGTGTGCCCCCAGCAGCATTCAAAGATAAATGAAGGTACTCCGGGACTCCAGTCAGCCAGTTTTGCACGTAAACACAAGATATTTTAGAAAAGAAATTTACTGTTTGAGCTAGGAGAGACCCTAGAGTAACCCTGGGCAGATTGCCAAGGTCTTTGTCTCTCCCCTCCCCCCCCCCCCTTCTTTTTTGGTCACTTGCCTTTTTTCCTCCCTTCCATATGTTCTATTTTTCTTTTAAGTGATCTTTGTAATGCTGTTGTTGTTGGTCAAACTGAACAACTTGAGGATTCAAGGGCAGGCAGGAGGGAGCTCTACCTCTATTCCTAAGGTTGGGAACAGCAAGGAGATTCTGGTGGTGAGAACAGTGTTTATTTCAGGGTTCGAGACTGCTTCTTCCTAGTTCTGTCACAGTAGATAAATTGAAACAGGACAGACTTGAATTTATAAAATGTGGCTGAACCAAAATGATGGAATGGGAAAAATTACAGGTTGATGCCCTGCTAGAAAATTAATCTCCCTCTTACAAAACAAGGCTAATGTGCATGTTGCATAGCAACCAAATGTCTTCACCGACACAGTCAGAAACAATGATACCCAGCTCAAAATGGAGCTGACCATGTAACCCTGAATGGGTGTCACTCGTCACAGTGTTGACAATAACACAATTTCCTGCATCAGGTTCCTGAAAGGGCTCACTATGTCTCTTCCTCAAGTTGTCCAGGGATTCAAGCTGTAATTTTTCTCATTCCTGTTGTCGTCCCACTTCACCCATATTTTACAAATGTGAATCTTCTGATTTCACCTCACTGGCCATGAGTAAACTAGTTTGAAGCCCTGGCTTATTTTTCTGTTTTAGTCATTGCTGTATTTCAACATCTGAGGCAAAGTAGATACTCAATAAATATTTGTTTAATTAATAAAGTGGTGGCAGTAACAACAGACATAGGATATCACTGACCCTCCACTTAGCAAACATGATATCCTTCTCCAGTGACTGGTCCCTCCTGACAATATGTCTGAAGAATGAGAGATGAAGTTTGGCCATCTTAGCCTCCAAGGAGAACTCTGGATAGTCAATGAAGACTGAGATTTTGAGTTCGTTTGATGAGAAGGGGATAGGGAAAAAGGAGAATGGGGAAACCCAGTGAGAAGAAGAGAGGAAGAAAAAATGACTAACAGAGAAGTGATGTGGATAGCATACCTAGGGCTCTCAGCACAGTTCCTGGATCTAGTAGGTGCTCAAGAAATAGCCAGCGAATGAAAGAATGACTCAGTAATTGCTTAGGTATGCTGCTAGCTTCTGTACCTATCCGTTCCCTTGGCTCTTAGGTTCACCTCTAAGCAAACCTGTTCCTACAGACCTCATCATCTTCCCTTCAACCCTGGTGCCTACTTTTGGTTAATGTCATCATTCCTCTTCCACTGACCTGGACTGAAAAAAAATCCCAGTTATCTCTTTTTTTATCATGTCCCTAAATCAGTCCATTACATTATCCTATTTCTACTACCAATTTGTTCATTGAACAAATATTCATTTAGCTCAGAACTGTCTTGCCTAGAGATACCTGGGAGATTGAAGTACACTGCTCTTTTCCCACTGTGGTCTGTGACCAGCACTGGATTGGTGTAAGGGTCTAACATCCTAGTCTCTTATCTATGGGCCTGCCCCTCCTTCTAGAAGTCCTGTCAGATATCTCCAGCCACATGTTACCTTCTCCTCCAAGAACCTTGGCAGGTCTCTCCTCTGAAACTGACCAATCTCCATCTTATTTAATAAGTAGATATTTATTTAAGGAGCCCTGGTGGTGAAGTGTTCGGTGGCTAACCAAAAGGTCAGTGGGTTGAACCCACCAGTTGCTCCATGGAAGAAGGCTGTGGCAGTCTGCTTCTGTAAAGATTACAGCCTTGGGAACCCTACGGGCGGTTCTATCCTGTCCTATACGGTTGCTAGAGGATCACTATGAGTCAGAACTGACTTGATGTCAATAGGTTAGGCATTTATTAGGCTTTTATTCTTGACTGGACCAATAAACAACATTCTTATCAATGGAGAAAAGATTGAAGTTGTCAAAGACTCCATTCTTCTTGGATCAACCATCAACACTCATGGAAGCAGCAGTCAAGAAAGCAAATGACGTATTGCATTAGGCAAATCTGCTGCACCAGACCTTTTTAAAGTGTTGAAGAGCAAAGATGTCAGCTTGAGGACTAAGATGCGCCTGGCCCAAGCCATGGTATTTTTAGTAACCTCACATGCATGCAAAGCTGGACAGTGAATAAGGAAGACCATAGAAGAATTGATGCTTTTGAGTTATGGTGTTGGAGGAGAATATTGAAAGTGCCATGGGCTGTCAAAAGAACCAATAGATCCGTTTTGAAAGAAGTGCAGCCAGAGTGCTCCTTGGAGGCCAAGATGGCCAGACTTCGTCTCTCATACTTCGGACATATTGTCAGGAGGGACCAGTCGCTGGAGAAGGATATCATGTTTGGTAAGGTGGAGGGTCAGAGAAAAAGAGGAAGACCCCCAATGAGATGGATTGGCCAGGTGGCAGCATTGATGGACTCAAGTGTGGCAACAGTAGTGAAGTTGGCCCAGGATTGGGCCATGTTTCGTTCTGCTGTGCATAAGGTTGCTATGAGTCAGTACTGACTCGATGGTACCTAACAACAACAAATTCTTGACTTCTAACTACTACTTAATTCTAAGTTCAATTCCGTCTGCAATTTCGCATTAGGGATTGGTTTAGATCCAACTCTGTATCCCGTCATGCTAAGTTGTTGCTGTTGTTGTTGTTAAGTGCCGTAGAGTCAGTTCTGACATGTAGTGGTCCTGCAAAGGGTTTCTGAGGATCAGCTGGTGAGCTTGAACCACCGACCTTGTGGTTCAGACCGCCTTTGCAGTCCAGTGCACTGTACCAGGACTTCGTCTTGCTAGGCAGTACACAGTTTAAGGTTAATGAGATTGAGCTGGTAAGGGTAGAGGCCAAGAACTAGTGAACTCAGGTATCAAGGTCAGGCCAGGTGAGGAGTGAAGGACAAAGATGGAAGGAAGGTTGAAGTGGGCTCACAGTCAGGTTGGGCTCTGCTTGCTTGGACCGGCACCCATGCACCTTGTCTCATTAGCACAGACAACGCACTCTGACTTAGAAATCAGAAACCCAGTAATTGAAGACAAACTATCTTGTGATTTGGCGCTTCAAGGAACATAGGACATTACTATTAAGAAGAACCAGGCAAACTGGATAAAACACAACACAGAGTTTTAGATATTTAAAAAAAACTCATTACAACTGAAGAACTGGCCATTTGACTGAGGTGGTGGGGGTGCTGACACTCTTCAGCTTGTAAAAGTTGCATTGTGAACATTTTGCTTGAAACCACTGCATTTGCTCTTTTACCATTTTGTTTGAAATTCTCTCATGCCTATGATATTATTGTTGTTAAGTGCCATGGAGTCAGTTCCAAAACATAGTGACCCTGTATAGGGTTTCCAAGGAGTGGCTGGTGAGCCTGAACCACTGACCTTGCAGTCCAGCACTTTAACCCACAGCACCACACCAGGACTCCTTTGATCTTAAAGAGTCCACAAAAGCCTGGAGAGAGCACGTGAGTGTCTGGGTGTAGCATGTCTCACTGCTCCGATTCAGCTCTACAAAACAGTCTTCCCAGAAAGCCTCAGCTGGAATCTCCTCCATCCACCAGTGACATGCCAGGTTCCTGCTACTGGAAGAGATCCCGAACTATGGGTCCCATGTGGTCTGTACCCTTTTCCACCTGACTGACTTTAAATAAACATGTGTCTGGTTGTGTCTAGTAAAAGAATCAAGCCACCTTTAACACCCTGCCACCTGGTGATTTCACGGACACAAGTCTGGGTGGAGAGTGACTGACCCTTTTCGAAGCCATGGGAATTGATGAGGTCTTTCCTCATCAATTAGAGTACACCCTCTAATGCGGCTGCAACTTACTCTCTGAAGGTGGTGCTATTTGGACCCTGTTGCATAGGAGGAACTGAATGAGCTAATGGGCCTTGCTCAATGTCACCCAGATTGTCTGGTTCTCAAGACAGTGCCCTTGATCATGACACTATCAAGTCAGTGTAAGCATCCATTCTAACTTTGTTCACCTAGGTTGGAAATGATGATTTTCTATTTTTTCTAGCATTGGCACAATCTTGTGTCATCTTATCACAATAAACCTGTGGCAGCAGAAGGTTTTGCATCCTATTCAGGGGGTGGAAGCAGCATCAATGTCTTCTACTGTCTCATTGGCTTGAGATATGATAAGGCCTGGGGTCTTATCATATGATAAGGCTAGGAGGTTGCAGCAGAGATAGACCAGCAAAGACAACATTACTATTTTTAAAAAGAACATTTTGGTGCTTTAGTTTGTTATCCAATATTTCTACACCAACACCTGAAATTTACAGGCCATGTTGTCATGCTATTATCCCATTTAACAGTTAAGGAGACTGAGGTTCCAGCAAAGGTCAACTGCTGGGGCCTGAGACAGTGAGACCAGAGTCTAGGCAGAATGCAGATTGGATCCCTCTGTTCTACAACTGCCTGTCACTACACAAAGTCACTTGAAAGCCCAAACAACACAAAACCCTGTGCTGAAATGATCAGACGCCTCTCTGAGTTCACATGGTCTGAGAAACAATGTCCAAGGCCGATCATGATTCTGCTATATATGAAAAAGAGTCTGAAAAATACAATTTTGACACATGCGTGTATGTACCCTTTGAAACCATTTGGAAACGGGCACTATGTATTTTTAAAATGAGGGTAACAAAACTAGAAGGGGAAAAGGCTTACTATTCTTATTTGTCATGAGGCCTACTGGTAAGGTAATCACAATTTAAAAACATATTTCATTAGAAATCAGTTGGAAAAAAATTGAGGGGCTTGACTTTATAAATAAATAAATAGAGAACCAATTGGCATCAAGTCAACTTCAACTCATTGCGACGCTGTATGTGTTGGAGTAGAGCTGTGCTCCATTGAATTTTCAAAGGCTGATGTTTTGATGTTGATCACTAGGCTTTCTGAGGTGCCTCTGGGTAAACTCCACTCTCCAACCTTCTGGTTAGCAGATGAGTGTGCATGGTAACAGAGTGTACCATGCAAGGACTCCTTATAAACAGATGAAGGACTTCATTGGCCTGTTTTGCCTATCATGGTTTCTTTAGATTAAAAAGAAAGCAAAACCCAGACAACCCAGCCTTGCTCATTAAGACAAAAAGAATTGACAAGGCAAATCACGTTGAGGGTGATGGTGGAGTCCCTGCGTGGTGCAAACAGTTAACTCACTCTGTTGCTGACAGAAAGGCTGGAGGTTTGTGTCTACCCAAATTTCCTCAAAAGCAAGGCCTGGTGATCTATTTTCCCAATATGTCAACAATTGAAAACCCTATGGAACACAGCTCTACTTAAAAAAAAAAAAAAAAAAGCTTTATTGTATTTTGGGGGAAAGTTTATCCAGCAAATTAAGTTCTCATTTAACATTTTCTCTGTAGGGTATGCACTGGACTGTGAACCACAATGTTAGTGGTTCAAGTTCACCAGCCACTTTGCAGAAGGAACTGAGGCTCTCTGCTCCTGTAGAGATTTACAGCCCCAGAAATCCTATACTGGCTCACTATGAGTTGGAACCAATTCAATGGCATTTACCAACAGCACACAAACATATTGTTCAGTGAAACTGGTTATATTTTTCACAATGTGCCAACATTCTCATTATTTTCATTCTGTTTCTTCTGTTTCCACGAATCCCCACTTCCCTCCTTACCTTCTTAGTTTTGTTTGAAAGTAAATGTTGGCCATTTGGTGTCTCATACAGATGATTTCTTTAAAGGATGGCAGGACTCACAGGTGATAATTGTTTAGTTTCTAATAACTGTTATTTAACTAACTGAAAGGTGACCTCCAGGTGTGGTTTCAGAACAATGTTTCAAGAGTGGCTCAGTGTCAAAGTTTCCCATCTCCCTCTCATCCAGTAAGCCTGCTCTTTTTAAAGGATGAGTTTTGTCCTGGCACAGTTCTACTTTGACACATACATGGATTGCCATGAATTGGAATCGATTCTATGGCAACTGATTTGGGGTGATGGCGTCACATACATTTGAGATAAGAGATTTCATGGGTCTCTTCTCTTGGCCTTTAAAATATATTTCATGTATTAGAAACCCAGACGATGGGTGTTTTGCCAGCTCCCTGGGGAGTTGGCTGGCAATTTGACAAGCAGTATCATAGATAAAAACTTAAGCGCTCTGACATAGTGCCCGAGAGCAGGGCCGGGGGTGGGGGTGGGGAGCTGAGCTTTTGCAGAATTACCTTCACAGTCTCCGTTGCTCTTTCTTCTCCAGCCGTGGCAGCAGGCCAGTTTGGCTCCATAGCGACAGACCCCAGGCTGGTCTGCCCGTGCTGAGAGCCCATGAGTCCTTGCACTGGGGAGAAAGAACCAGACATTAGCATGGAAAATGCAGAAAAGACAACTGGAGATATGACAGTGGCCCAGTTAGTTTCAACAAACACCTTAGCTCAAGGAGATTTTGAAAACCTGGATCAATAGCTTGTCAGTCTCTGCTCCCATCCCTTGCCAACCTTCCTCACTAACTGATCAAGAAAGATCAATCGCAGGTAAAGGACCTCATGGTTGGTGATGTGAAGGGTCACTGCAAATAAGGGAACCCTCAATGGGAAGACTTGACACAAAAATCTCAACAATGAAATCCAACAATGAAATCCAACATGATCATGAAGGTTGCAAAGGTTTCAATCTGTTATACATAAGGTTGCCACGAGTAGGAGCAAACTAGACGGCAACTAACAATAATATTTAATCTATAAAACTGTTGTTGTTGTTAGGTGTTGTCACGTCAGTTCTGACTCAGAGAGACCTTATGTGCAACAGAGTGAAACACTGCCTGGTCATGCACCAACTTCACAATTGCTACCTTTGAGCTCATTGTTTTCACCACTGTGACCCTTCACTTTTCTAGGCATGATGTCCTTCTCCAGGGACTGGTCCCTCCTGATAATATGTTCAAAGTACAAGAGACGAAGTCTCACCATCCTCACTTCTAAGGAGGATTCTGGTTGTACTTCTTCGAACACAGATTTGTTTGTTTTTCTGGAAGTCCATGGTACTTGTCAATATTTTTTTGCCAACACCATAATTAAAATGCATCAATTCTTCTACAGTTTTCCTTATTGATTGTCCAACTTTCATATGCATTTGACGCTATTGAAATTACCATGGCTTAGGTTTGGTGCATGTTAGTCATCAAAGCAGTATCTTTGCTATTTAATACCTTAAAGAGGTCTTTTGCAGAAGGTATGCCTAATGCAATATGTTTGGTTCCTTGACTGCTGGTTCCACGAGTGTTGACTGTGGATCTAAGCAAAATGAAGTCTTTAACAACTTCAGTCTTTTTTCCATATATCATGATGTTATTTATTGGTCCAGATGTGAGGATTTCTGTTCTCTTTACACTGAGGTGCAATCCATACTGAAGGTTGTGATCTTTGATCTTCATCAGTAGGTGTCTTAAGTCCTCTTCACTTTCAGCAAGCAAGGTTGTATCATCTGCATATGGCACGTTGTTAATGAGTCTTCCTCCAATCCTGATGCCACGTTTTTCTTCATATCGTCCATTATTTGCTCAGCATACAGAGTGACTAAGTACAGCAAAAGGATACAATGCTGGCACACATTTTTCCTGATTTGAAACCATTCAATATCCTCTGTCCGAATGACTGCCTCTTGGTCTAGGTACAGGATCCTCATGAGAACAATGAAGTGTTCTGGCCATTCTTCGCAATGTTATCCATAGTTTGTCATGATCTGCACAGTCAAAAGTCTTTGCATAGCCAATAAAACACAAGTAGACATCTTTCTGGTATTCGCTGATTTCAGCAAAGATCCATGTTACATCAGCAATGATATCCCTCATTGCAGATGCTTCTCTGAATCCAGCTTGACTTTTTGGCAGTTCCCTGTCCATGTACTCTTGCAGCCATTTTTGAATTATCTTCAGCACAATTTTATTTGCATGTGATATTGATATTGTTTGATGATTTCCACATCCTTTGGGTCACCTCTCTTTGGAATGGGCACAAATATGGATCTCTGACAATTGGTTGGCCAGGTAGCTCTCTTCTAAGTTTCTTGGCATGGATGAGTGAGTGTCTCCATTGCTGCATCAGTTTTTTGAAAGATTTCAGTTTGTATTCCATTAACTCCTGGAGTCTTGTTTTTCACCACTGCCTTCAGTGCAGCTTGGACTTCTTCCTTCAATATCATCAGTTTTTGACCATACGCTACCTGTTGAAATAGTTGAACATCAGCCATTCCTTTTTGGTATAGTGAGTCTGTATTCCTTCCATCGTCTTTTGATGCTTTCTGCATCATTCAACAGTTTGCCCATAGAATATTGCAAATAGAGGTTTGAATGATTTTTTCAGTTGTTTCAGCTTGAGAAATACTGAGTGTGTTCTTCCCTTTTGGCTTTCTAACTCCAGGTCTTTGCACATTTCATTATACTACTTTGTCTTCTAGAGCTGCCCGTTGACATTTTCTGCTCGGCTCTTTTATTTCCTCATTTCTTCCAGTTGCTTTAACTGGAGAGCAAGTTTCAGAGTTTCTTCTGACATCCAGTTTTGTCTTTCCTTCTTTCCTCTTTTTAATGATCTTTTGCTTTCTTCCTGTATGATATTCTTTATATCACCCTACAACTCCTCTGGTCTTCAGTCATTAGTGTCTAATATACCAAATTTGTTTTTGAGATGGTCTCTGAATTCAGGGAGGGCATATTCAAGATCATATTTTGGTTCTTGTGGACTTGTTTTAATTTTCTTCAGCTTCAGCTTGAACTTGCATATTAGCAGTTGATGGTCTGTTCCACAGCCTGGCCCTGGCCTTGTTTTGACTGATGATATGGAGCTTTTCCACAGATGTAGTCAATGTGATTTCTGTGTTTTCCATTTGGTGAGGTCCACGTGTATAGCTGTCTTTTATATTGTTAAAAAAAGGTAATTGCAATGAATAAGTCATTGGTCTTACAAAATTCTATCATGAGATCTCCAACATCGTTTCTATCACCAAGGCCATGTTTTCCAATTACTTACCGATCTTTCCTCTTTGTTTTCAACTTTCTCATTCCAATCACCAGTAATTATCAATGCATCTTGATTGCATATTTGATCAGTTTCAGACTGAAGAAATTGGTAGAATTCTTCAGTTTCACCAACACTGGCTTTGGTGTGTAAATTTGAATAATAATTATATTAGATCGTCTTCCTTGTAGGCATATGGATATTATCCTATCACAGACAGTGTTATACTTCAAGATAGATCTTGAAATGTTCTTTTTGATTATGAATGCTACCCATTTCTCTTGAATTTGTTGTGGTGGCATAGTAAACCATATGATTGTCAGATTCTGCGGGAGAAAGATGAGGTTTTCTTCTCCCATAAAGATTCACAGCCATGGAAACCTTATACAGGGTCTCTATGAGTCAGAACTGACTCGATGGCACACCATCACCATAACAATTTCTAGGAGCAATGAGTTAAGTGTTGTATTGCTAACTGAAAATGTAAGCAGTTCGAACCTACCAGCTGCTACATGGGTGAAGGAAGATGAAGTATCTATTTCTGTAAAGATTCACATCCTCAGAAACCCTATGGTACAATTTTACTCTGCCTTATAGCGCAGTGGTTACGAATCGGGCTGCAAACCGCAAGGTCAGCAGTTCGAAACTACCAGCTGTTCCATGGAAGAAAGATGAGGCTTTCTGCTCCCGTAAAGATTTACAGCCTCGGAAACCCTGTACAGGGTGGCTATGAGTCGGAATCAACTCCATGGCATATAACAACAACAACAATAGGCTCCTGATGTTCTGCTGTAGGATAAGCATTGTAGGATAAGCACTCAACCACAAGGTTGGTTTGAATTGCAAGTTCGGTGGTTCAAATTCACCAGCTGCTCCTTGGAAATTCTATACAGGGTTGCTATGAGTCGGAACTAACTCAACGGCACTAAACAACAACAAACAACAATAGGGTTCTGATGTGGCACTGTGGGTTAATACATTGGACTGCAAGGTTGGTTTGAACCACAAGGTCAGCAGTTCAAACTCACAAGCCACTCCTCAGAAACCCTACGTGGTGGTTGGTGGTGGTGTGCCGTGGAGTCAGTTCTGACTCACAGTGACCCTGACTCATAACCACTATACTACCAGAGCTCCTTTCGGAAACCCTATACCGGGTCACTATGTGTCAGAACCGACTCGACGGCACTTAACAATAACCACATAGGGTTGCTATGAGTCAGAACTGACTCAAGGGCAGTGGTTTTTTATGGCTGTTTCCTCATGCATATTCAGTACACTGTAAAAGATTATCTGTACTTTTTTTTTTAACAGACAAGGAATGCACATTTTACCTTTGTGCTTTAGGTTGCAGGGCTGAACTGTATGCAAGTTAATAATATCTTAGGCAAGGTCAGGAAGTTCAACAGCCTTTTAGCTTTCCTTGGTTGTCTGCCTCTCTGTCGAACTTGGTTATTCAGTTAAAAGTCACAAGACGCATGGTCTGGAGCATGTCATTAACTAAAGCACCAAAGGCAAGGATGATTTTACTATTTACTTTTTCTTGAAGGGGGCATTAGTTTTCTCTCTCTTCATCTTTAATAATATTATTTTTGGGGTTCCTCAGAACCTTTTAGAACAGTTTTTCAGCTTTGACACTACTGTCGCTGAGGGAGCTCTCCTAATGGTAGGATGTTGAGCAGCATCCTTCTATCCATTAGTAGCACTTGCCACCCCCAAGAAGTGACAACCAAACTGTTTCTGGACAAATGTCTCCTGGGCAGCAAACTCCCGCCCCTCTCCTGCCATTGAGAACCACTGATTTAGAGTAAGACATTTATTGGGAACTTTCTATTTTCCAAGATCTGTCTTAGGTACTAGGAGCCCTGGTGGTGCTGTAGAATAAGCACTGGACTGCTAACCCAAAGGTCGAAGGTCAGCAGTTTAAACCTGCCATCTTTCCCTCAGGGGAAAGATGAAGCTTTTTGTTCCCATAAAGATTTACAGCCTCACAAACCCTATAGAGGGTACCTATGTATCGGAATTGACTGGACGGCAGTGATTTTGGTTTTGGATTTGGATTTTAGGCACATCAGTGTGGGTTAGGTGTTGGGCTGCTAACAGAAAGTTCGGCAGTTCAAACCCACCAGCCACTCCCCAGGAGAAAGATGAGGCTGTCTACTCCTGTAAAGGTTTGCATTCTCGGAAACCTTATACAAGGTCGCTATGAATTGTAGTCAGCTAGATGGCACTTGATTTTGGTAGACACATAGAGTACAGGGATGAAGAAGACCCATTGTTTACACCCATGAGCTCATAGTCAGTTGCACATAGATGGATTCCAGCATATGGG